AATTTGAGGGGGGGATCAAAAATTAATTTTATGCTGTTTGAAAAAGTTTCTATATTCCTGCAGTCAAAGACAAACATAAACATAATTTTTGCTGTAGATGAAGGGAGTACATATTTTCTGTGGGATGATAACAGTGTAGAGTCATTAGATTATTTTGAAGAAGACATGAAAAATGAGCAATGCCGTCGCCGAGACTCGAACCTGGACCTCTCGAATATGCACCAAGTATGCCAACCATTACACCGCGAAAGCATGCTGGAAGCAGGGAGAATCAAAATTATAGCTGTATTAACTAAAAATTGTCTTTTATTGTATTTTTATCTGCATTTTAGTGATCTTAGAATTTTATAGATTTGATTTGGAATTTTTACTTATGATTTTATTCATTTTGACTTATTCAGATACTAATTTTATGTCTTATGATTGTTTAATTCTATATTTATATCTTGTTATTTTTTTACTTGATATGTGTTAATTGTCTGTTTATAGTTTGCGTTTTAATGTTGTGATTGTGCTTTAATTTGTTTTTGTCGTGGGATTCCTTATTTTGTGGTGAACTTAGAGGTGACCCAAAATAGATCATAAGGTCTATTTTTAGACCAGGTGGATCGGGTCGCATGCCTATCATTTGTAATCTTATTACAGTAATGACAATGAGACTAACTTGTTTGGTTATGTAGGTCCGGCTGCGCCCAATTCTGATACCTTATAACAGTAATAACAAAATTTCAACTTTATTACATTAGTTAAAATTAGAATTCTGTTAATTATGCATACTTTAGAAAATGACAATTGCCCGTGATCTGTCGTGAACTGGTGAAACTATTTTACTAATACCTAAATAGCTTCAGCTCCAGTAGTTTTACGATTTTGAGGTAAATTATAATTCTTGTCGCAGCGCACTGAAGTTCTATACAAGGCGAGCTCCGGCACTTCATTTCATGAGACTGAACACGATTTCCGCAGACCAGGACTTAATTTCTAAGATTAGAAGTGCCGGAGCCCTATGGAAGACCGTCAGCAAAGAGGAACGAGAGTAAATAAATAAATAAAATGACTTTTAAACTCATTAATAATTTTAAAATTAAATAGTAATTTATTAGCAAATTAGTTAATAGCTATTTAATTAATGTTTATAAGTTGTTATTTAATCATAATTATATATCATTAATTATAATTTAATTGATAATTATTATTTATTGAAATAATTAAAGATGAAGTAATTAAATAATTAAAATTAAATAAAATGTAAAGAGATAAATTGGAATTTAATACGTAATTTTTAATATAATTTTATTGCTAAAATAAAAATTTCGAGATAAAATTTCTATTGAAATTGTTATTCAATTACATAAAAGAAGTGCCGCAGCCTTCTTATTCAGGGCTCCGGTGCGTTCCGGCCAGAATTACAATTTATTACAAAAACTAAGAAGCACCGGAGCCGACAACCGGTGGGCTACGGCCCAATTTAAGCTCTGATCGTAAGGGGGGGGGAGTCTTTTTAACATCACAAAAATTAAATATACATAAAGTATAGCTGTTCACATAAAGTATAGCTGCAAGAGTATTACTGATTCCAACTTCTTAAAGGACTTAACAATTACTTCAGCCTTTACGTCCTCCCAAGATCTTTTTACTCACTCCCACACTTGTGAAATAGAAAGCCGCTTCATTCTACCTGAGGGGTGTGAAGGCGTGATGTGGCTCTCCTATTCACTTGTTCCATCATTTCTCGCACTTTTTCCTTAAATGGCTTATTCACCGATACATCTAAAGGCTGCAATTGACTAGTCAGTCCACCAGGAATGACAGCTATCTGGGTTTTTAATCCTCTCGCTTTATTCTTCATGGTTTCAGTTCTATGGGCGCTAAACTGATCCAAAACCAAAAGAGAGGGTTATCTTAAAAGTCCACCAGGTCGCCCGGACCATACGTTCTGTAACCACAGTTTCATTCCAGCTTCATCCATCCAGCTTTTAGGATGAACATGAACAATTACACCCGTTGGAAGTTTTTCTTTCGGATGAGTTTTTCTTTTGAATATGAAAAACGGCGGTAGTTTTGACCGACACGTGTGTCAGCTGAGTCAAAGAATGTCTATGTAAAGAAGGAAAGGCTCTATAGACGTAATGTGACCGTCGAACCTGTTCGAACTTCGATATCAGCTTCGAGCTTTGGCGCTTTTTGGTGACAGATATTTCACGCATGCGCAAAATAATTATGGCAGATGTAGTAAACGTTATGTGTGTTTTTTATCCGGGTTAAAAATAGCATTCAGTATTGAAAGTTTACCTGTGTCCTTCACGTATAAGACTCAGGTAAATTTTTTGAGACCAAATTTAGGAAAAATAGTGCGTCTTATATGCCGTCAAATATGGTATATATTTATCTTGCATATATCCTTAAGGTAGTAACCGCAAACGAAAATATGCTAGCGAAGTCACAAAGTAGTTTGTTCGATTATGACAAAACAAAGTGTGACTTTCAGCCTAAAGGTTAGGTTATTTAATTACGGCAAAGCCTCGAGGGCTATCTGCCTAAGGGGAGGGATACCTTCGTGGAGGACTTTCTAAGGGAAACTGGCTGTATACACGTACAATGGGGAAAACCACGAAAACACCCATGCAGCCAGCCCGTTCTTGGGATTCGAACCTCGGACCGAACTACCAGTGTTCAGCGACTTTACCGCTCGGCCGCTGGTGGGCTTCAGCCTAAAGGTAAGGATGCTTTCATGGAAGACTTTCTAAGGGAAGCTGGCTTTTATCTACGTTAGACATAAGGGGGGAAAACACGAAAACGCCCATGCAGCCATTCTTTCCGCTGAGAATCGAACTACCAGCATTTAGCATTTTTACCGCTCGGGTGCTAGTGGGACGTCTCAAATGTGCCAGCAGTTTGAACGCTGATATTAAGGTATTAGTGCAGTTAGCATTAAAATATAAGATAAAAATGTTTTAATATTTTACAAAAGTTTGAACCTCTAGCAGATATTTTATTGCATTTGACACTTTCCAAGTACTTAAAACGGAGTAAAACTTGTTTCACTCTACATAGAGTATACACGTTTAATGCCTCGACAGAATAATAACAAATAAATTTGAGCGCTGTTCTTTTATTAATAACTGTGATAAAAAAACGAGTTTTTTTAATTTAAAATTTTCTTTTTGCATTATTTTTAAATAAGATGTTATTTCACAGACGTTGATATAATTTTTGATCTGACACAGATTATCTTAATAAAATAAGGAATTTGTATATTGTTGTATGCTTCTAATAATCCTTATCCTCACCAACTTATTTGAATGAAAAACATTGATTCAATTCGAGTTCAAATCCCAAATAAAATATAGAGTTTATGTAGAATAATGAGCGTAAAAGCTGTGGGCTCACATTTCTTCTAGATTAGACGGTGGTTAGGGAAAGGAGCTAATGGGATTATAAATATTTCAGAATATATTCTTCTTCGAAATTGCGATAGTGTTTTTTTTTTCTCTTCAGCTTATTAAATGTTAGTGCGCTACTGCTTACATCCCTATTATGGATAAATAGAGATAAAATACTGATTTTCATTATGCAACAAGTCTCGAAGTTTTAACACGGTTCGGTCGTGCAATATGATGCAGTTGGTACCAGACTAAAAACTGAGTTATTAAAATAGAAATTTATTCAAATATTTCGTGAAATCTGTAATATAATTCGAGAATAAATGTGATTACTTGACTACTCTGTAAATACAAGTTTCGAAATCAAAGCCAAAAAATATACTCAAATAAATAAATATAACTAATTTTAAATTGGTCGAAACATTTTCCAATCGTTATTTTATATATTTTCTCAGCAGCTAACTCTCTGATAGCCGGATGTTGATTGCTGAAGATCAGCAGAGCAGACATTAATTACTTGAAAAATTACTCTTTCCATTGTCCCTAGAAACATTTAATCATTCATTCCTTTCAGTATACCTTCAGATAAACAATATCGCTTAAAAGTATTAAGTTAGTTTAACGTTATAACTATTAAAAATGATAGAAAAACAAGAGTTCGATGCGTTGCGCGAGGTGCAAGATTTCATCACCGGTCAGTGACGTCACGTCAGGTGACGTGTCAATAGCTATCGTCGCCAGCAGGGCGGCGTAACAAGCGCTGCATGGCGATTTGGCGAAAACAGAGGAGATACCACCAGGCAGGTTTCTTGTTGAGCAGGAAGTTGCAATTTCAAAATTGATACGTCTCGTACATCGTGTACCCAACGGGATGTGCTACCTGCGAAATTTTAATTGGCCTTCTACTGTTGAACAGACTGTAGTGTTAATATTTGAACTATCTTAGCTACTTATAATTTATTAATTTTAGGCATTCCGTAAGTCGTGTACTTTTTATATTTGAATTAAATATGTTCTTTTTTTTTACGAACACTTGTTATTTTCTTTAGTTAATTATATTTAAATTTTTTAATTATCTTTGGAACACTACGTGACTAATAATGATATTAGCGAAATCAGTCTTTAAAATTCAGGTAATATTAAAGGCAGTGGGAGGTTTTGAGCTCCTTAATATTTTCGTAATTTAATTATAATTTTATAGTGTAATTGACATATAGCATTGATTTTTCTGTTATGAATTTAGATAGTAGTACTGAATATTTGCCTACAATTTTGTAGCTAATTGGTTTCCATTTGCAGACAGTTGTAACGATTTTATGTTAAGCATATTTTTAGTTAATTTTTGATTATTTCATGTATTGATATCAGATTAAACTGGTAAAGTTAGATGAGTTTTTAGTGATTTATTTAATGAAAGTATCCCATTCTAAGCAAAATTTTGAACTCTGTCGTTCTATTTATTTGCATAAAAACTTCTGTGTGGTATATAAATTTAAGAACTTTGTAAATTATTCAGATTTTTGTCTAATGAATGATTAAATATTGTTGTAAAAATATGATTGTTTGCATGTTAAAATTGTATCAAGTATATGTATGATGATGTTTATTGCTTTTTAGGTAAAGCGTCTGGAGAAATTTGACAAGACAAAAATGTCAGAAGGTACTGATTTGCGTATAAAGTCTAGAAAATCATATGAAAATCTTGCAACAAATGGTGGTATAGATACTGCATTTTCACTGCAATATGATACAAGTTCTTTATCTAGTCAAACCAAACAGTGGATTGCAAACCGTGAGGATAGGCAAAATTTAGTGCTATGGAAAAGGCCCTTCACAACACTTCAGTATTTTGTAAAAGAACTATTTATAAATTTTTATGAATATGGAACTAAGTAAGTATAAAATTTATTTTTAAGTATTTCATTTATTGTAGTAGATAAGTCTAATAGCTGCTTTTTGGAATGTCTAAGAGTTTAATGAAATATCTAGTTTAATATTAATTTTCATTAGACCATGCTATTTTGGCATCTCATTTATTATATATCACTATGCCTAAGTATGAGGAAACCATTTGGAGATTTCTTCCTTTGTTTCATTGGTGTTTAAACTTGGATACATAATGGGATGTGTTATTTAGTATAACACCAGTATTACAGTCTAGTTAAATATTATAATTCAAGTTCTGTAGGAAGATTTAGATGAATGTACATTTTCTATAAAAAACTTTGTTAATACAGTTAATAGTATAAGCTGTTATTTTACTTTTTGGGTTATGAATATTTATCAGAATTTTCCTGAAGTAGAATATACATAAACAGCAAGAAATTACATATTTCTTAAGAGGTATGCAACAAATATAGCATCAAGTCAATTCATGCTAACAGAAAACTGCCATATGTAAAGTCTGTTGCAGTCATATTAAATGCATTTCCTATTATTTCTGTATGTTAGTTAGCATTATTTCTGCAAACACATTTTTTTTCTTCTTTCTTTTTAAGTTATGTGAATTTGTTGTTTGGACTACTGTGTCCTTTGGAGATAAGGAGTAAAATTGTTTAGGGGTGTCTCATGAGAACTCTGAAGTTTTTAGTTCTGATAACTGAGTTCGGTAGAAATTCTATCCATTAATATTATTTAAATGTCAAAGTGTGGTCTTTGTGCTTGACACTTGTATGCATTTTGAATTAGTCTGCACTCCATATTTTTTTGTATACATTTGTCTATATTCCCTGTCAGTGCTATTTAGATTATCTGATAAAATTATATAAGTTTAATGTTTTGACATAAAAATCCTTTTTTGTTCAATATAGGTATTCATGAATACAAAACTTAATTATATGTGCTTTATTTTATTATCATTGTTATATAGTAATTAAAGTTTTTACCTAGAGAAGAGGTATGCCATTTATGTTTCCAGACACACATGTTGAATTACTAGTTTGCAGTAAAGTGACTATTTTTCCTGAAGCCACTATAAGCCATTTAAGTGCATAATTTTGTTATTTCAAATTATTAATTTTTCTAGTTTTTAAAATTCTTGTAATATTTACTGTAACATATTGCTTGTATGTTAGAATGAAGGATATCTTTTAAGGCATATCTAAAAGCAGGATATGTTGATATGTCTTGTACAATTTGAACATATCATCTTAGTTTAAAGCATATTCTGGTATAATTATCATGGTTTCCATGGCTTCAAACAGTTTTTCTGTGACTTTATGATTTCAAATGCTTTGTCTTCTGAAGTAGTGAGAATATGACTGTCTAGTGATATTCACTACCAGTAGTGCTTAAGTTTTCAGAAATACTGCTTATTTTCAAACGTCATCATAGCATGTTTCACTGTACTTACTACCAGCTGTGTTAATGCAGTTGTTTGCTGTTAGTAGAGTTTGACTATGATTACAGATTTGAAAGAAAGATAATTTTTCTGATCAAGAAAAGTCTCATCATTTTTCTCAATATACGGAGTTTTATACTTCGAATACAGTTTAATTTTTCATGTAATCCATGTCTTTCTCAGTACAGCATTACATTTATAAATACAGTGTCGACATTTTTCAGACGTTAAGCTTTTTGCCGTATATTTACTCGTAAAAGTATTCAAATATGTTTCTATATATCCATTTTAGTTTCTTAGATGATTTAAGTGCTCTGCCTGTTTCTCTGAGTAAGAAATACAGTTTTAATAGAAACTCTTTAATTCACTTATAAATCTTCTTGACCTTGAGAGTTCTGTATAGTATTATTTGATTATTTAATGCATTTTTGCTTTCACTTTTGCATTTTTATGACTAAAGACTGACTGTACAGAGTGTTAAGATCCACATAATCTAGAGTATCATAGTACAGTCAAAAGTCGTTAATCCGAACTCGTCGGGACTTCGGCGATTCTGGATTATCGATTTTGCCGGATTATAGATCATCAGTTTAAATCTGGTAAGATGGCATGCAGAAATTATAAAATTAAAAATATGAAACCGTAATTTATGAAATAAAGAACAATTATGATCTAAAGGGTATCAAAATTTACAAAAAAAAGCTTAATATTTATTTGTTTACTTTATTAAACATTTCTTTTAATGTAAATTGTTTAAGTTGCCTTGTTTTTTATGTGATAATACATTCTCTTTAATTCTTTAAACAGACATAATTTCTTGTTCAGTTACAAAGTTCCGCTGTTTAAGTCCTATAATTGCTGTGTTGAGAATACCGACTAATTTGTCAATCGAAATTTTTTCGTTTTCAATAACCTCTGGGTCACTTTCTTCACTATCGGAAGCGAATTATAATGACAAGGAACTTAAATCATATCAAAGATGGAGTACATCGAGATGAAATGCTACATTTAGTAAGGATTTGTAAGCCAAATAAAATAAAAACATCTGTCCTGAAGATAAAGATAGTGCTGACAGATCAACTTCCAATTCAATGCGCAGCGTTAAAGATAAACAAAGTTTAGATAAACAAACGTTAAAGTTTAGATAAACAAAGGATATGCCTTTATCTATTTTTTATAGCAATTCCACTTTTTGTTTAATGAACTTCGAAACATACTTTTGCTTTGTAGATCATTTACATATTAATAAATATATATCAGAAATTCTATTTGACGTAATCGAAAGTTCAAGCTTACTTTTATAAAATTGCTCTAACAGTCTGCAAAAAATAATAAGCCGGATCCAATTCGAAGATTAAGGAACAACGCAATCTGCAACATTAACTGAAATAGATAATTAAATAATTTTAGCTTAGCTTACACCGTCCATTATACATTAAACGCGCACTCGTAAACATATTTTGCGCACACGCACAAGCATATTCTCAGCCGTTAAAGGCCTTACGCGCATGCATCAATGCGACGCATGCGCAGAAAGTTTGAAGCTTTGAGGTCCAGATTATAGATCATTCCGGATTATGGGTGTCCGAATTAACGACTTTTGACTGTATCTAGAAGCAAGATACTATACTGAAATATAGTATTCCCATTCTAAACATCTCTTCTATTTTGCACAGTTTGGTCACCTTACAATACTGTAAGCTTATTTGAGTATACATTAAATAATTGCCGAGTACAGATTTGCAGAATGCAGTTTCACAGATATGTGTTATTTTTATTATACCCACCTAATTGGTGTCCAGTGCTGAAATTTCATTCATACATGTTCTGTGTTCATTCAATACTGAATGCTTGCTGGCATCAACTCTAGCCAGAAGTTATCAACAATTTCCATTGTTTGAAAATAAAGCTACTGAAATTATATAATTTATGAAAGTAATTGGAGGCAAAGGATTTTCAGGTACAGAAAGAAATTAAAAGAATTAATTGAGAAATACTGCATGAATAAGATGATCTTATAACACCAGGTGATAGTAAAAGCAATGATAACGAAGAAGACAAATGCATTTAATATACAAGAAGTTAAATTAATTGTTAAAGGCATGAGGATGTCTGATTTTGCAATGGAGACTGACTCAAATGAAGAAAGAAGAGGAATTGGAAAACTTTGCACATCTTAACTGCAAAAATTTTTAAAAAATTATATTTTCTCAAGCAAAAACAACAAAAACAAAAATTGTATCATGTACCTATTAAGCAGTAATAAACATTTTTGTAAGCAGTAATAAACATGTATTTTAAAAATTAATAATTATTTTAATAAAATTAGTATCAGTTTCTAACTTTTAAATTTCTAGTGTTGCATTCAATGTAGTGTATTTTAATTGTCGTGCTATTTTGAAATTATCAAAGAAAATATGGAAACTTCAAATTATATATTAGCTACTTAAAAATGTGTTTTAGCAATATCAGATTAGAAATATAGTTTTCTTACAGAAGTTGGAAAAAAAAATTTTAGATGAATAATGAAAAAAATCTATTTTATTATTAGTTTTTAATCATACCTATAAGCAGTTGACTGTGTTGGAAAACTATGATCACTAGTAATTAGGGTATAGCAAATATAGATTTTAGATATAAAAACCATACATTTTTCAGATTCCAGCTTTAAATTGTAGTAAAAAGTCGCACATTTGCAAATTAAGTTTATCACATATGTCTTGGATATTGATGCTGAGTATATTACCCTACATTTTGTAAAGTGCTTTGTGATCCACCTGTATCCTGGAGAAGTATTTTGATCGTTTGAATTTAACAAATTCAGAATATTCACATTGCTGTTTTAATTATAGTTTGAATTCATAACTTGTTAGATGATTAAGTAAATTATTCTTTCAAAATGACCATAGTAATCAAACTTTAACATGTTCCTACTGTTAGAGTATTAATAAAAATATTGCTTTAAATAGTAGTAAGCAAATACAAGGATTTTTCCCCATTGAAATTAAAAGTTTAGGATAGCTTTTCATTTTTTACAATTATCATAATCTGTCATTGCATTGTAAGCAAGTAGAACTTGTCTATATATAAAGATTGCAATACACAGTCAAATATAATATAAAGTTTTCTGGAATTTGAAGATAATTAACCCTCTGAGCATTATGAGCTGCTTTATCCGGTCATCGGAAGTTTTGCCACTTGCCGTATATTAGTTTATAATTTAAGTTATTTTGCTTTCGTACTTTCTTTAATAATGTAAATATCATCTTAATGAATGCAAGTTTATGAAAATACAGACTAAAATAAGTAATTATACAAACTCAATTAATAAATGCTGTTTAAATACCAGTTTTCATGACAGGATTTAAAATCCTGTGTCGCTCAGAGGGTTAAATGGTTCTCTTAACCACTTTTCGTTTATTTTCAGTTTTAGTTTCAAGAATTATTTAATATTGTAAAAGTCTGTTGAAATAGTTGTTTTTTAAATTTTTCTATTGATTATTTCTTAAGTATGGCAAATAGTTTTTTAACCAACTACATTTGTTTAGCGTTCGTATAATGTATGCTCTGTTATCTGCTTTATTACATTTCATATGGTCATATTTTAATTTTATTCAAATAATTTCTTTGTAGACTACTTCAGCATCAAAAGTTTGTTTTAACAAGCTTACTAGTCAGTGCCATTAGCATCACATTATATCATTTAGAAGGTCCTCATCAAAAAGTAAATATTGATTCTTGCTTTTTATAATGTTGTTGATTTTAGGGAGGAACATTTTCAGTTTCATTAAAATTTATTTATAAATTCATTGAATCATTGAAAAAATTAAATATATGGTCAAAGTTCATATTTAATTCAATTTATGATAAATAATTTTTTATAATATCAGCACATTCTGAAATTGTTAAAAAAGAGCTTATAAAATAACATTAACTGTTATTTTTTATAATAGATAAAAACTATCCTTTTAAAAAATCTTAAAGGTAAAATAAATTTTAGGGGAAATGTTGGAAATCTTGTAGTACTATTTTAATATTTTTTAAAATCTAAATTGAGTGTTAATGTATCTATAATATCAGTTTTTGTTTTAGGAACTTCCCGAGTTGATCTTTTATATAACTTAGTTCTATGAACATATTTTTCTGCCTGAAGTTACAGCAGCTGTAAAATACATAATTGAAAATTTTACGTTCATTTCCTGATTTATAATTCATGTAATAAAGCCAAAATTAACATAAGTTTATGTTCTTGATTACATCATTGTTGTTTTCACATGATTATAAAATTAGATGCAAGTCATTTTAGAATTATAATGACCAATCAAAATTGCTTCACTTGTCTCCACTGACAACTTGTTTCTTTAGACCAACCATTGAGTTGACAATAGGGAAAATATTCTTTGCTTTTGCATTGTGGACATTATTAAATATAATCTATTTTTTCAAAGTATTCAAATACTTATGCAAGCTTATTTTCAGATTTTTTTTATAAAATTTTTGGGTAAAAATTGTTTTGAATACTTTTTTCAAGAACAAGCAGATTTATTAAAGATTATCAGTAGTATCCATGAAAGAAAAAGTCATTTCACTGATATTTGCAAATAAAACTCGAAAACACAAGATTCAGAAAACAAAGAAAGCCGCTGTAAATAAATACAATGTGTGTTTTTTAGTAAATGGGGTGCCAGTTCATAATTGTTGAAGCCCCAGTACAGTAACCTGTTTATTTCATCTCGAGTACTTGTACAATGATATCATTGTGAATAAGCAAGGAGAATAAACATGGTCTAGTAATTTTTCTAATGACATTTTCAGTTGTTTTTAGTAATGTTTTTCTTTGTTTAAAAAAATCAAAAAAGAGAATCAATATGGATTATACAATTTGGCAATCGTGATGTGTTTCTTGCAAGAGATTCATGATGTGTTTCTTGCAAGAGTGGTAGTATTCATATTTTGTTCGTAAAAACAGAATTATATTTTATTGCTATTGAAGCATCAAAATTGGAATTCCAGTGAAAGACCTGTGCCACTATAAGAAAGATTTTTAAAGCAGATCCTAGCTAGGTTCACACATTTCTTTACATAGAACTAGTTAGTTTATTTACTTCTCGTGTCAAGGGTTAACACAGATGGTATTTTATCACCTGCAGTTAGGAATAATTGCTTTAGTGTCATCGAATGGAATAATCACATGTGCAGTTGTTTGTAAAAATATTTTTTTTAGCTTTAGCCACATGAGAGGTGTATAATTGGGGAGGTCGCTCTATGGCCATCATTGAAATATCACTACATTCATCGTGTCTTTATTGACTCAGTGAAGTGGAGAGTGGTCCGAAGGGGCTATGTTTCTAGCACTAAGTGTGGGGACTATGGGGGACTATGAGTCTCGCACGAACTGCTCTGAGGACAGCGTCAGGTTGGGAGTTTCGCTGAGACAGTACATCTGTTGAAAGGTAATGCAGGTGTCCTAAGGCAAGATCAGTGAGAACAGAAACGATTTTTAGATGAAACTGCATAAGTGATAAAGATTTCAGTCGTTAGTAATACATGATTTCATTCATTAATAATAAATTTAATTTTTAAAATTTTTAATGCTTTATTTTCTACTTCTCTTATTTTCTTCCTCTCCTATCTATAGATTTCTAACTAATATTGACATTTTGCACACTGTTAACTGAAAGTACCAGAAAATATTTTCTTTTTAAGTTTCCAACTAGAAATAGCATATATATATATATTTCATTTATATTTTATTTTTGTGAGTATGGACTTTTTGCCTGTATGTCACTTTTTATGTAAGGTAAGCTAAATGTAAGAGCTGAATTAACCATTAAGCAAAAATTGCTGGTTCTGCCATGGAATGTATGGTGCAGCTAAACCAAATGAAGAAAGTGGGGGAAAAACAGGCATTATAAAGTAAATGTATTATGTGAGGGGCACTAAAATTTTTTTAATGTTTAAGCATTCTAAAAGTCTTAATCTGACCCTGGGTGAATAATATTTCATTACTGAAAGCATTTCAAATTTTAATATATTAATGCATATAAAAAGTAATTTATTATTCATGGGCAAATATAAGACACAAGGAATAAAACTGGATTTCTTTCACAAGTAACGGGAAGGAGTAATTTTTAATATGAGATGTTTTTGTAGTAAATGTTCATAGTACTATTTATTTATTATATAAAATCAGTGAAAGAATGTCCATTAATTTAAGCAATCATTTTCAAATTCAAAATTTATTTTAGTCTTAGAATTTTATCTTAGGTTTGCTTAAATTTCCCCCTTTTTTTTTATGTTGATGAAAAACACAGTTCGGTATAGTAAAACACATAGTTGAACCATTAGAGTTTTTAAAATTGATTAAAATTTTATCCACTTATGTTTTAAAGAAAAGGTGGTCTGTTTAGATTTTAAATATTTAATAGGGCTCACCAGTGGCTGGGCAATAAAGTTGCTGAGCACTGGTAGTTTGGGCTGAGGTTCGAATCCTGCAAACGTTTGCATGAGTGTTTTTATGGTTTTCACCATGTGTAACATGACTACAAGTCAGTTTCCCTTAGAATGTCATTTACGAAGGTATCCCTCCCTTTAGGCAGATAGCTCTATATCAAATACTCTGCACCTATGTAAATATTTAGTAAAGTGTTTTGACACGACATAAGGAACAGTCGTATGTATGGATGAATTTATCAGCTAAACCTTTTTTGAACTCTGCGAAACAAACACTGTTTTAGTTTGTAATCATCTCTCACTGCAATACACTTGTTATAGTGCCCAGGAAAATTTTGAATTCCAGAACAATAAAAGTTTTTTTGATTGCATGTTGCCCCATTCTTGTACAGCATCAATAGCTTGCTCATTAGACATGAATTTCTCTCCCTGTCTAAAATTCTTAATTTATAATCTTAAATTGATGTTTCTACATTGCTAGTACTATTTTAAAGTTCCCTAGTGATTTTTTTGATGGTAGTTCTTCAATCAACCTGAATTAGTGCATCAATGACAGTCAATTTGTTTTTATTAGTTTTAAGATTTTTGGCCAACTCTTAAGCTGGTATCCTTTAAAAGGCTTGCACAGTCTAATCTGAGAGAACAGTCACCTCCAAACTGATTTTTTTATGTCTAATAAATCAGACTGAATGGTATTTTCATTAATCAAAATTTAACAATTCACTGTGCATAGTGTGAACCTCCAAGTTCTAGGTATGTTGATCACAGCTAAAATGGATGATAGAAGAAGAAATTAGTATTATTAAAAATCTAAACATGTCTGTTTTCCCAGTAACTCGTGGTTACATTGAAACTCTTTACGAGAAAATATCATGAAAATTCCTGTTTATAATGTCCCTAGTTTGAACAGATGAAAAATTATTTATTACGATACTGTTTGTGGATATACGTAAAGCCTGAGTGTATGTTACAGATGAATTTTTTAAATTGATTACTTAATTGAATTCAATGAAAATGAAAAGAGAATTAAGATTTAATGGCATTCAAAATGTTTGATTTCATTCAGAACTTTGTTGGAATGCACTTATATACCATAGTATAGAGATGTTGGTGTATCTTTGTGATGTTAATTTAAAAAAATGTGAATTTTTAAAGAACTGAAAGTTCTCGCAAATTGTAAATTTATTAAAAATTTATAAGTGATAGGATTATGTATTTGGTAAAATTATTAATATTTAATTTATTCAGTAAAAAAAGTAACATTCCAATTAATTACCATATTTGATGGCATATAAGATGCACTTTTTTCCTAAATTTGGTCTCACAAAAGTTACCTGCGTCTTGTACATGAAGGACACAGGTTAACTTTCAATACTGAATGCTATTTTTAGCTTAGATAAAGGTCTAGACACACATAACTTTTTCTACATCTGCCATAGTTATTTTGCGTATGCGTGAAATATGTTGCCAAAAAGCGCCAAAGCTCGAAGCTGATATCGAAGTTCAAACAGGTTAGATGATCACATTACTTCTATGGAGCCTTTCCTTCTTTACATAGACTTTCTTTGACTCAGCTGACAGACCTTTCGGTATTGGTGCTACTCTTTATAAATGTGTTGGTATCGGTGCTTAAAACTATTTGTTTTAAAAAAATACCTTGGAAAATATGACTACAGGAAACAAGAGATTAAGCTATACAATTCAGTATAAACTAGGAGTGTTAAACTACGCCAAAGTGCATGGAAACAGAGCAGCAGCAAGGCATTTCGGTCCACCATCTACCGAAAAAATGATGCGTACTTGGCGACTGCAGGAAGATCAACTGAAGACTGCTAAAAAACAAAAACATAACCTTCGATGCCCAGCTCCATCTTGGCCTGAACTTGAAAATGCCGTAAAAATATGAGTGATAGATAAGAGGAAATCTGGGATAAGTATTTCAACTAAAAATGATAATGAGGCCAAAGGATTTGCAGAAAAACATGGGAATCAGAACTTTTAAGGGTCTGAGTGCTGGTGCTACAGGTTCATGAAAAGGCAAGGCTTATCAATGCACACAAAAACAAATATTGCAAAAAAATGCCAACAGGTTATAAATAAAAAATACTAGCATTTCATCGGTTTGTTATAAATGCACGCAAAAAAAACTTCTTTTGAGATCAGTCAAATAGGAAATGTGGATGAAATTCCACTCACATTTGATGTACCATCCAACAGGACTGTGAGTTTTAAAGGGTCTAAATCAAAAACCATAAAAACCACAGGTCATGAAAAACCCGATTTACGGTAGTTCTAACATGGTGTGCTGATGGCGCAAAACTTCCGCCATTTTTCATATTCAAAAGAAAACTCATCCGAAAGAAAAACTTCCAACGGGTATAATTATTTGTGTTCATCTGAAAGCTTGGATGGACGAAGCTGGAATGAAACTGTGGTTACAGAACGTATGGGCGAGGCGACCTGGTGGACTCTTAAAAAAACCCTCTCTTTTGGTTTTGGATCAGTTTAGTGCCCATAGAACTGAAACCATAAAGAATAAAGCGAGAGGTTAAAAACCCAGATAGCTGTCATTCCTGGTGCACTGACTAACCAATTGCAGCCTTTAGATGTATCGGTGAATAAGCAATTTAAGGGAAAATGCGAGAATGATGGAACAAGTGGATAGGAGAGCCACATCACGCCGTCACACCCTCAGGGAGAATGAAGCGGCCCTCTATTTCGCAAGTGTGCGAGTGGGTAAAAAGATTTTGGGAGGACGCAAAGGCTGAAGTCATTAAGTCCTTTAAGAAGTGCGGAATCAGTAATGTTCTTGATGGAACAGAAGACGACGCATTATTCGAAGAAGGTGATACTAGCGATGATGATATTCTCATTTTCGATGGTGATGATAGTGAAAAGGATTTTGATGGTTTTGAAAGTGATTAAAGTCTAATTTCACGATATGCAATGTTTTCTTTTGAATCCGTGTTTTTGTTGTTTCTGCTTTATTTTGTATTATGTTTGATTGCTTGCCGTTCATTCATTTATTCGTTATTGAAATTTACATATCATGCTCAAAATAGCTTGCCGTTTGTTAATTTTCCTTAATAAAAAATATGTTTGGTAATTGCATTTGATGATTGTTTATTTGCCTTTTACGAAACATGAGAACTAAAAGAAACCACATTTTAAGTTATTGTGGTCGCATGGACTATTGAAACTTTTTCCTTGTGTGGCCTTCTAAATAAGGATACATCTTATATGCCAGTGCGTCTTATATGCCGTCAAATACGGTAATATAATTCATAATTGCTACTTAGCTATATATTTTTAGAAATTAAAGAAGCAACTTATATGTATTGAATAATGAGTGGGGCTCTTAAAAGCATTTTATAAACTTAATAAATTATTTAGTCTTAAATAACCTTAAATGTTTCTGTGATGGCTCAAAGAATGGACTCATTAATGAAGAAATGACTCGTCTGTAAGAGCTTACTTATCAGTTAGTATGGCATGATTATTATCAGTACTGTATTCTTGCTACAGTATTAAAAAATTTTTTTTACAGCTTCTGTTTCATATTTACAAACCAGAAAAAAGCATATTCATTATGTAAATTTTCTTAAATATATTATTTTTATGTGCTGTCTAAAAGTACCAAATCACCCTTTTAAAAACGTATGACAATTTTAAAACTTTTTTTTTTTTTTTTTCAGTATGTGGTCCAACTAGAGAAGGAGTTTTTAAGATGTGCCTATTGGATAGGTCTTGGTGTTTTATCATCAGTTGGGCTTGGAACAGGCCTCCATACATTTGTACTTTATTTAGTAAGTCTCTGTTTTGTTTAGTAGAATAATTTTTATGCAAGATATTAAAGGTCATGCTATGATAATAATACATGTGTTAATATAAAATGTATAGAGTTTAATTTTTTTTAAAACATGCTTAATTTTGTTAGTTTGTCTTTTTAGTATAATATGAATTCTACTCTTAAATTGAAATTGATGAATTTCCACAGGGTCCACATATAGCTCGTGTAACATTAGCTGCATATGAATGTAATAGTCTTGATTTTCCTCAGCCTCCGTATCCTGATGAGTAAGTTTTATATTTTGTTGTTCTTTTTAAATTTATGGTCACGTTTTTATCATTTGATTGTGTATTTTCCCAACCGTATGCTTTGATGCAAAAGTACAGTCATATAAAATATATTAAGGTTTTGTCTGTATTAATATAATTATAATATTTTACGAATAAAACTATCTACTTGCATTTTTTCATTGTATTCTCGAGCTGTTATATTCATTCGTAGTTAGAAACCATCGTTAAATATATGTTCTCAAATGAATAAGCATATGTCAGAGAAACCATTGTATAAAACGTATTATGTTCTTGGAGATCTTTCAAGACCACTGAATCAGTATTCTAGTTTTGGCTTATAATGATGATTTGCTTGGATGAACCATTTGAGTTAATTTTCTATGTCAAAAATTATGTGCAAGTTGGAACTCCTAATAATAATAACTTCATTTATCACTTTTAATTTAAATGCAGTAATTCCTTGCATGTACATTAATTAGCAAAGTATGAACTAAGTGTCACATAAATGAAAAAAGCATAAATTAATGTAATTATTATCAAAATCAAGTCTGAAATTAGTTAAACAACATAACATGCATTATTAGAAAAGTATCTCTGGTTAATTTGCTACATAAAAATTTAATAGTGAAACAAATTCAATATGAAAAAATTTAAATAACTTGAATACATTTCGTTCTTTTCAAAATAGTATGCAATTGAGTATTGTTTTTGTTTCTGCTTCTGTCTTTAGTGAAAATGTTCTTTAGTATTTGTAAAAGCAAGAATAAGTGGTATTAGTAAGTGAAATGTAATAATACGAGTTTTTCTAAAGCACATTTTGCTGTTCTGAAAGTTTAGGGTCTTTTCTAAATCCTTTTTGCCATGTCTCTTCATCCTCAGTATCATCTAGGATTTTACTTCAGTTATTTTGTTTCTGCATTCTCACTGATGTTTATATGATCCATCTAAAATATTCTCTTCTTTATTATTTGGTATTTCTACTACATGTTTACCGTAGACAGATGATTCTTTGGTTTTTGTCTAAAGAGAAGCCTGCTTCCATGAAACAATTCTTAATGCAAGCTTTAGCAATATCTTTCCATACACAGCATAATGAAGGCACCAAGTATATATATTTGTGAATAAATGCTATGTTCCATATATAGAGCAACAGGAATTTTCTGTTATGACTCTTCGTACAGTAAATCATCCGACATGAGATGTTGGAATTTTCATGTCAAATTAGCAAAGAAAGACACCACCTTTTTCCTGCTGAGCGTTGCGAAAATAAGCAGATCACTAGATGTCTTTAAGTGTGTAATGCTGTGCAGAATTTGGCAGACTAATTAGATGACCGATTAGACAAGTGGCTGTTTCATGGCCTTTTTTGTTTTATCTGAATCTGTCTCTATAAAAGAAAATTTTTGGTACTATTCAGTTTCAAGGGCCGTAAAAAAATTCAACCGAAAATGTATGCACGAAAGTGCCAAATCTAGCAAACATGCTCATTTAACAGCGTGCCAAATTTCGCGTACGCGCTTATTTCAGATTACCTAAGTTTATATAGTTCTATATTTCTTAAGACGCCATTGAAATACTGTTTAATTTTTAAATCCTTTTTTGATATCCTATGGAATTAACAATTTGGGAATTGCCTATGATGAAAAGTCTGCAATAGAGTTTTGGGTAAAGTGCAGAATCACCCACTGCTTGACACGATTTTAAGAATTGCACATACTCGGTATCCATGTGCACATCGACCTATTTTCACTTAAAAAAAATCCTAGAATTGCATAAAAATGGCACTGTGCACACCTTTGACTTTATCTATGTACACATCGACCTATTGTCACTTAAAAAGTAAAAGAAAATTGACACAATTCCAATTGTTTTTACCCTTGTAAAAAGCGGCAAAGAAATAAGTGGGTGATTCAGCACTTTACCGAGAATGTTTTCAAAGAAAAGGCATCATTCGTTATAGAAAATTATGTTTGAACAACCAACGAGATGACATTATGCTTTAGCAATAACTCGGTAACGAAAATATTATATGAAATTAACCTTTCATCTAAATTAAAACATCAATATTTAGATTACTATTACACTTCCTTTCTTGCATTAGGGTTGCTGCAATTACTTTTGGCAGCACTGGCATCAACAATAGTTTGGCGATTTTTTACGGCCCTCGAAACCGAATAGTACCAAATTTTTTTTGTTCTGAGCTTTTGCCAAGATTATTGTTTTCTGTCTTTGTAACTGACAGGCATATTGGGATATGGATTTCTTTAAACAATTGTATTTGCCAAGTGTTGAACTTTATTTTGTCTTTTGCTTAATTTGTTTAGCTAAATTTCACATTTGTGACGCGTTATCAAAAATGGTATCTGTATTTTTAAATTTCTCTTACAGTTGTTGTGGGAATTTTAAATTGTTCTATGAAAAGTTTTTTTGATGTATTGAATACTCTACAGATTTTTTAATACTTTTTATACTTATATAGTGGCCATCAAGCTTGATCACCAAATCTGTAACATGTAAATTTCAAATGTTGCTTAAGGCTTTTGTGACAGTGCTTTAACAAGGAAATACTGATTTTTTAATTATTTGCATTTCATGAATTCAGAAACTTTGCTCATTTACGAGTTTTCCAAACAGAAAATCACTATGCATACCACTGACAAAAAATAAATGAATAAAAGCTCCTACACTGCACCTTATTGGTTGTATTTAATTCTTTTCTTGATTGAATTCCAAGAAAGGGAGTGGTTTATTCAGTTAAAAGCATAAGCAGGTGTGGAGAGCAAGTAATATATAGATAAGAAAGAAGAGTCCATTTTTTAAGTAGGAATATTCATGGCTAAAAAAAATCAGAAATACATAATAAAGTTTAAAAATTAGTAATGAATTTCCTAAAAAGGTTTAACTTAGTGGTGGAGGTGGAATAAAAAAAAGCATGAGCTTAAAATTTCCATGACAGGTAATATGCACAAACCTTTCAAATTAAACTGGAAAAAAAAAAAAAAAAAAAAAAAAAAAATATTATTTTTATAAACCTTTCATCAGTGTTAGTCAGAGATTTTCATATAATTGGAAGATTTTTATGAATGAGGGATATATAATCACGAGATTGCTATATATACTTGTTATTTAAATAAGTATATTCATTTTATGTTTAGAATCCATTAAAGTGTTCTTTTCATGTATGATATGCTAATTTGTGTTTACAAAGCAGCTGACAGTGGAAACATTTGTTATCTTATGAAACTTCTGTATGCTCAATGAGTACTGCAGATTTTTTGCTAAAATATATTGATTAACATGTTGACGGCGGTGAGGATAGGATATTCATTGTTCTTTTCCTGCATCGACGCTTGAATTAGCGGTCTGTTTTATTAATCCCCATAGTGAAGTAATGATAGCAAAAAAAGAAAAAAAAAGTTGTAAAATTCGTACGAAGGATCTGCAAGGAAGACGAGAAAGCGATGCAAAGAATGCTATAAATGCTTAGCAAGCTTAGCATGCTATAAACGCTTAGCAACAGCAATGCATGACCCACCGGAGGGTCAGGTTAGTGTCTACATGTGTGTATATGTATATATATAAATGCATTACCAACCATGTTCAGTGCTAGCATTCTGTAGAATACCTGAGCATTTTTAGGTAAAGTATGAAGAAATTGTCATGTTCAAATGTTATTTTGGAAAAATAATGAAAGACTGCTACTAAAAACTTATTATTATTCAAAGTACGTAGCGTATTTGGAAACTAAGTACTGTTTCATTCTAGCGCCGTCGCAGCGCTGTGGTAGGCATCCCGCGCATGCGCACTAGTCTTTCTTGTTCACCTACTTTCAATTGTCGCCATTTTGGTTGCTCTATGTTGTGTTTTCAGTTTGCTGTGCACATTCAAAATGTTTAAGACGATTAGTTCTCCTGCTGACTGTAAGATTCGTGCCGTGATTAAATTTTTGAACGCGAGGAATGTTAAACCGTCCGAAATTTATCGTCAAGTGACGGAAGTTTACGGTGAATACGCGATAAGTGATGGAATGGTGAGAAAGTGGGTAAGAATGTTTAATGCAGGTCGAACAAATGTCCACGCCAAGGCTCGGAGTGGTCGGCCTTCTGTTGTCACCGATGATTTGGTAAGGAAAGTTGATGAAGCAATTCATGAGAACAGACACTTCACAATGACAACTCTTTCAGAGGCATTTCCACAAATTTCACGTACTGTTTTGTTCGAAATTGTGTCTGACCGCTTGAATTATCGCAAACTGTGTTCCCGATGGGTTCCAAAAGTGCTCACTGATGTTCACAAAACAAAGCGACTTGGTAGTGCCCTGACATTTCTCACGCGGTACAGTGACGAGGGAGAAAACTTTTTAAACCAAATTGTGAAAGGTGATGAAACTTGGGTGTGTCATTTCGCACCAGAATCGAAACAACAATCGATGGAGTGGAGACACACTCATTCTCTGAAAAAACAAAAGTTCAAAGTGACAATGTCATCACAAAAAATCATGTGCACTGTCTTCTGGGATAGGAAAGGTGTTTTGCTTACTGAATTTCTTCCCAGAGGTGAAACCATTAATGCGGCACGATATTGTGAGACTTTAACGAAACTAAGGCTGCCATTCAAAACAAACGAAGAGGAATGCTCAGTAAAGGAATTGTGTTGCTCCATGACAATGCTCGGCCCCATACTGCTGGTGTCACTCAATCGTTAATTCGACAGTTTCATTGGGAGCAGTTCGATCATCCGCAGTACAGCCCGGACTTGGCGCCGTCCGACTATCACTTGTTCCTGCACATGAAGCGCGAGCTTGGTGGCAAGCGCTTTGGATCTGACGACGACACGAAAAATGCTGTGGAGTCGTGGATATCGAAACTAGCGGGAAGTTTCTTTGATGATGGTATATAAAAACTGGTCACCCGCTATGACAAGTGTTTGATCATTGGCGGAAACTATGTTGAAAAATAGTTTAAGACAGGTATTTTCATGTAAAAATAAAATTGGATTCGAAAAAATTGTTTTACTGTTTTTTTTTTTTTTCACAAAACGGTACTTATTTTCCGAATACGCCTCGTACGTGAAAGAAACTAGTGAGAGATGATCTTGGTGCACCATAATAATTTTTCATTCTGTACCTAACTGAAACTGGAAATCAATAAGATCAATCTGACAATGGGAATTAAATGCTGAAAAAATCATTTTCACAACAATTTCCATTTTTATACCTTTCTTTTTTTTTTTTCTGGCACAGATCACAAAGGTGGATGTACAGTTTTATATCATTACGTGTAATGTTTTCATATTTAGTTGAAAGTTCTTTCAAGACTTCAGTGTCCAGCAGCTTAATGAGTTTCACGTAGTATGTGAAATAACACGGCGTTCAAGGCGTGAAGCTTGCTTTTGTTTTCCCGCAATCATCACATCATAGCAATTCAGCAACTTAATAGTCCAGTGATTCCTTTTTAGTAGTCAGTTTGGCCTTTTTATATCATTTATTATCTTTTGTTACTTAGTTTCAGTTATTCAAAATGGATCAGATGTATTTCATATTTTGCCAGTTTGCCATTCTGCAAAATGCCTATGCACTGTGTAAATATTTCATACACTGCTTCAGGATTCTATAAAGTGCTTAGATATTGTATTGAATGCCGGATTTCATACTTTGCTGGTAACATATATATATATGGATGGTTTCAATTTTTAGTTCAACTGCAATTGATTGTAAAGCATATCTTCCCTTTTGAAAATTTTGAATTATTTGCACAAGCCATACAGATTTCAAAATAGATTCCTTCTCTGATATGTTAATAAAAAATAGTTTGATGAAATGGATGATTTAAATTTTTTTGCAGAACATTAAATCTGCTTCTTTGTCTGTACTTATTCTGAAGTTTGGTGGTAATTATGCAAAAGAATAGTTTATACTATCTTTTAACAGATATAACCAGTTTTTTTTAGCTTGAATAAGAATTGTCTGCCTTTTAAGTTTTAAAATTATATTTTCGAATACACATTCAATGTTTTTGGGAGTGCTTACTGAATACAGAAAACCTAAAAATAATGAGATTTTTGTATTAGCAAACTGATATTGGAATTGTTTTAGATTTTGATTGTATTTTGGCACACTTTTATAATTTTTTACGAGGTTGCTGTTTAAGCATTCAGAAAAATTTGTCCTCCATTATCTTATACTTAGTATCTGTGGTCAGAGCATTCTAATATAGAGTGACCATGCCAAATAAAATCTGCAGTAGAAATAAAACCAGTGATAAATAAAGTATAACTTGCACTTAGTCTAGCTTTTGTAAAATTTTCATATGTTTTCTCTTGAACTGAAACTTTTGCTTCAGATTTGAATTTTTTATTTTTTAATTACTTGCTATATTTTAAAATAATCTTAGTTTTTCCTTTTAGAATAATATGTCCAGAAGGTGACAATAGCAATACTGTTATTACAATATTAAAAATTATGAGTAAAGTTAGACTTGAAGCATTTATGTGGGTAAGTAAAAATATTTCTTGTATGAATTATAAAACGTTTGCTTTGAAAAGTGAAATAGCATATTAACTAAGTATATGTTCTTTAAATGGGTATTGCCAGTAATCATTAGTGCCTTTTGGTGGTGCAACGTATTTTTTACATCGGCAGATCAGTAAAATAAGTTTTCCATTTCTTATGCCCCCGATGGGTTATTGTTTAGCAATCACATTAAAAATCATATCAGATTATTTTTCACAGTTTATCTCTGGCAGCATATTAATTCTGTTAAATAAAAGAGCATGTCTTCTTTCAAAACTAATCCCAAGTTTTTATTCTCATACTTTGCCAGCTGTTGATGATATGTTTCCATTGTATGCCTTTTGTTATATAGTTTAATTGCATGAAAAGTGGGAGTGTTTGTGATTTTTTTTGGCAAAATGCCATATTTTTGCAAATAAAAGATTGTTATTAATTTATTTCTTGGCAAAAAACCCACCAGCGGCTGAGTGGTAAAGACTCTGAACGTTGGTAGTTCGGTCCGAGGTTCGAATCCCTCGAACAGGCTGGCTGCATGGGTCGTGGTTTTCTCCATGTGTAACGTGTAATACGAGCCAGTTTCCCTTAGAAAGTCCTCCACAAAGGCATTTCTCCCTTTAGACTGATAGCCCTGGTGTGCTTTGCCATAATTGAATAATCCCATTTTTTGGCAAATCTAGTAAATATGATGTGAAATGCAGTACAAGACAAATAATTGTGGTCTTGAGAGCTTTCCACAGGAAAAAGATTGCTGAAGAAAAAATTGGGGGCTTACATATGCCCAATCACCTAAAACAATCATGCCCTTAGTAATTCTTCAGACAACCATGCTCATAACCATTCTTCAATTTTAACAAGCAACAACCCATTTTCATTTGGTCCTTTCTATTGTATTCCAAGATCAAACAGCTTTTAACAGACAAATCATACTTTTAAATTCTTAAACTTGGTTTTAAATTATGCACTTATGGGATTTGCCTACAATGGAAGAAACTGTGTTAAAATTTCTGCAAGAGTACAGTATTTTGGTGAAAAATTATGAAAATAAATAAACAAGTTTTTAAATTATTCTTAAAGCAATTCCATCAATATTGCAATCAGAAGAAAAAGAAAAATACATGTAAATATATTTATTGATTTTTGAGATTACTATCAATGTAAACATGCATGTATGTAATAAGTTCATTTCTTTGCAATTTAAGTTACCATTCTTTTATTTCTGTAAAAATTATCACCAGTGTGGTAAACGGTGGCAGGTTGTGCTGATATTCCATGTAATTATTATTACATTTGTTGAGGTTGTGTAATACCTACTGCATTTTGAACTCGACATATTTATTACAATTATATGAGAAGCTCTATTACATTTATATATAATATGGGAAACATAGAACGATTACTGTCCTCATTATATATGAGGATCTTGCTAACGGCCTGTCTCTCTAGCTGAGAGTTCCTGAGCATTCTGGCGTGTTGTTCTGATAGAAACAATCTGCAGACTGAATTAGTTACGCCTTCTTTATTTTTCAGTTGTATTTTACATTCTCTGATTCGTTATATCTGGAATGATATTAGAAGAAAAGCAAGATCATTGGTTCGTCAGACCTCTTGAAATCGAGAGGGTTTGACAACACACAGTGCAGAATGTTAAAATCCCTAGACCTGGTCTCAGATTATGTGTCTTGTACTGTCAACTGGAATGGGTTATTGTATTTGCGATGTCAGACTGTTGTCTAACACATCATAAAAGCTTGAAAACAGTGATTTGTGGGGGACTGCACACATAATTTATTTACTCATCTGTGTGGGGTCTGCCACACCAGTATAATAACATAATAATGTAAGTACAAAAGCACCAAAAGTTATACTGTGGAAATATGCTCTAGCTATAATTGGGCTAAAATCAACATTGAAACAAAATGTCACCTGAGCCCTTTTTTAAAAAAAAAGTTAACAAAACAAAATCTGTACTTTTCTATTAAAGCCATACCACTTTGTACTTTTGTTTTAACCTATTTCTCCAGTGCCAAATATTGTCAGTTGGTTTGACATCTTTCCTGACATTAACTGCCTTTATAACCACCACTCATGTGAATAATGACTCATTAAACCAAATTGTGACTCAAAGTTGAAATGGGTAATCAGTGTTCGCTTGTACATAGGAAAAATACGGTATCAGTGCAAATGTGGTACATTTCATTGTATATTCCTTTCATTATAGCACATTGCAGTGTGATTAGTTTGAAAAGCTACACCTGAGTATAACTGAACTTGCACAGTTTTTCATAAGTCACAATCTATATGTGAGCTATCTACATCATTTTGGAGTTCAAGACAGTATCAGATGACGTGGAGAGATTTGAAACCTTGATTATTATTTATTTGATTGTCCTGAAATAAGCTTTTCATCTTAGAAAACTATCTGCCAAAAATTGCCACCCATGGGCCAACTATACCTGTAAGAATCCATGCACAATTAAACATATTAAGAACTGAACCAGTGTAGTTCTGTTAATTTTGAATAGTTTACAAGACTAATTTAAATCTGCTGAGTATTACTTAACACTACTTTGGTATCTGTGAGAGCTGTTTTGTCTTGCAAGCACACTTATGCATTTCAAATCAGTACATTTGAATATTTCCTGTTTTTTTCCCTACCTCTTTGCAATTTGTAATATGTATTATTATTCAAGGCAGTGCGATGGTAGCACATTAGAAACGTCTCTTTTCAAACTTATATCTTCAATGTAAATTGTGCATAACAGTACTAATATTTTAATAAAAATGTACAATTAGTATATTAGTGTTGGAATATAATTTTTTAACATAGTATTGCATCTATATTATAATAAATATATATGCGTATAATAAATATATATGCATTATATATGCGTACTTGTACTGCTGCCCAGTGTTTTGGTATTGCAAAAGAGCAGAATATTTTTAAGTGTTTATTTAATGAACTGTTTTATGTATTGTACAGTATTATTGCATTTGTATATGTGTATCAGTTAATTGCCATTCACATCTATTTTTAAATGATATACATTAGTATGCTTGTGATGGTTTTCTTATATATATCTACTTGAAACAATTGCAAAATTTCAAGAACGATGCAAAAGCAGCTCAATTTTAAATTAAAAGAATAGTACATAATTATCTCCAAAGTCTTATGCAGCTTAACAGCTGTACAATCAAAATGGAGTGCTTTTAGTCACATGGCTGACTTCACCCCCTTCTGTTCTACTTTTGCCCATTCTAACAGAAACAGCTCCCATGAGACATGCTTCCAGATATATGAATGAATAGAGAATCACTGGCAGGTCTTAAAGAGACTGATAAGCATCATCACCAAGTGAATAAGCTGCTCTCTTATGAAGTAAAGTATTAATTTACTTATAAATATCGGGGATTAATGTTTATTGAACTTTGGGAACTAAAGCTTACTTCAAATGAATCACAATATAGCATCGGGATAATTGCATAAAAGCTAGTAATTGCATATATGCCAATTTCTTGTTATCTTGTTTTATTAAAATTGACAGATGCAACAAAATTGTTGGAACTTATGGTAATGTATTCATAAAAAATAAAAGTATATGCCATGTTTTAATTCCACAGTAGGTTTTAGGGGATTTTGTCATGAAATTAGAGAATAATTTGTATTCCTTTTCCCAACTGTTCTTTTTCATCTGGTGTAGAGCCAGAGGCAAGGGAATAGAAATAAGCCAACATGGCACCAAAAGTATTTGTTATGCCGCGGAAAATGTACAAAATTCATTTCCCAGTGCCCATGGTTTTTCACGCAGGCGCGCATAGTTATGCAATGTGTTAGGGGGGGAATAAGTGCAAGTTTTACTTTATAAAAACTGTTTACTTTCACTAAATAAAGAATAAAAGAAAAAAAAAAGAATGCATAAAATTTAATGTTTTGAGTAAAAGTAAAATAAAAATGATGTTTTTATAATAAAAAAGATCCCTAAAATGGAGTTTCGATCAATTCATTTTTAGACCAGTAAAGTCTAATATCACATTTCAGTGTTATACCTTGTGAAATCAATATGCCTAAAAAGCATACATTTCTTCTGAAATGATTGAATGGCACGATTTTGTTCTTGATTTTTCGTTTGCAAGGTGTTGGTTCATGTACTCGTCTACAAAATGGTTAGTTTCAGTAACAAGATGAAGCACGAGCAGTTCATAAAAAAATAATTCAAAAAAGATAAATGGGTTTGAAACATCCGTTATATCTTCCTTTTATTACTGGAAACTACTACAGGAAATAAACGAAAACTGAGGACACAGAATAAAAAAAAAAAAAAAAAAAAAAGTTTTACTCGAACAGCACCAGCCAATACCGCGCAGTCATTACTTTCACGGCTTTTAGACACATCCCTCTCTCAAATTTCTCCCCACTCTTAGAAATAGTATCCTCCTTTGCATACTTTGACAAGGTCATTGTGGTGTTGCATTTCAAAGCTTTGCGAATAATTTTACGGGTAGCAGCGCGAAACAACTTTTAAGTTATTGAACACTTTCATGAAATGTCAGGGCTAATAATTTTGGCAATGTATTGAATGGTGCTAATAATTATCATTAAATGTTATAAAAATGCTCATATATTTCAGTCACATTTATTAAATCACAAATTTAACATTTTAAACAGATATTATGTATATCTAATATCTTCCTTTTAATTTGCGTCATAGTTATTTTCTAATAGTAATGCTTATTTTGTTATGAGTGCATTTTTTTTATATAAGCATATTGTTTACATTTTTGTAAAAAGGTGTTTGATTCAATAATATTTCAGTAATATTTGATTGAATTTAAGAAGTTCGCTCGTTTATTGCTACTTCTTATGCTCTCATTCTTAAATTATCTGATGTTATTTTAGGGAATGGGCACAGCCTTAGGAGAGTTACCACCCTATTTCATGGCAAAAGCAGGTAAATGGGTTTCTTAATATTTGGCTTTTATGCTGTTGTACTTTTCAAATTGCATTTCAATTTGAATTTTGTTTATTTAAATTTTAGCACGATTGTCTGGACAAGAACACGATGATGAAGAATTAAAAGAATTTGAAGAATTGCTTCAAGTTAAGAAAAACAAACCAGAAGAACAAGTAATTAAAAAATTTTTCTCTTTATTCTTGTTTATTAAGTTTGTATCAAAGAATTAGTTTTTAATCATTTTATTATGCTTTCTGCTGTCTGATTGGTAGGCTAATTTGGAATCAGGTATTGATAAAAAAAATAATGCTGTTATGTAGATTTGTTTTTTATGCATTTGTCTTTGCATTCTGAATACTCAGTTGGCAAATTATCAATGGTGGTAACAGTATTTAGTCATTCGGTTGTAGATTAAGATTAATGTATGTTTGCTTCAACCTTTTTTAATGATTTGTTTGTCAGGTATAAAAATATATTGCTGATCTTGAGCAAGATCCTCACATACCTTATAAATCATCACTTCACATCACACACTGTATTCTGAAACCTGCTGTTCTTGATAATTTTAAGTTTCATTTAATTTTTAAAATTCCTCTAGATCACTTTTTCTTTAAGAAGTATAGAGCTTCAAAAGAACAGTCTGTTGGTAGAAATTTAATGTATAAAATAATTATAAATCATGTATTGTTATATTTATCAAACATGTAATCAAGGTAATTATTCATTTGAACAATGCAATAAATGATTTATATAGATTTCTATTTGTAATATGTCTTATTTTTGAGTTTGAAAAGTATGTCTTTCTTGTTTGAATGATGAAATTGAAAGATTTTTGTATTTAGTTGGAAAATTGTCTGATCATTAGTTAAAGCAGTGAGAGACATGCACAAGGCCACTTGATATGTTTGTGGATTGCCATAGAGTAGGGAAATGCTTTATTCAGCGAATATTTTTTGAATAAATATCATGGATGTTTTCAGATATTAGATGTTCACTTCTAATTATCTTTTGTAAATAATTTTGTAGATAAAGTAATATCTAGACCAGGGCTGTTCAACTTTAAATGGCCCAAAAAATGCGGTTTTGAGGGCTGCATTATAAAATACTTTGTGTGCAACTTTATCAGTGAGTGTTCATAGGTATGATATACAGGGAGGAAAAAAAAAGTGTGTTTGTTATTTTTATTTATTTAAAAAATGTCGAATTACAAAAAAAGTCTGGAAAATTTGAGGGTATTGGTTTTCACTCGCTGATGCATCAATACTAACTTTAATATTTGTTGCTGATAAACAAAGCAACTGAGTGACTTATCAGAGAGAAAACGTCTGCATTTTGACTTTATAAATTTCATGTTGGAAAAGCTGCTTTCGTAAAATGCTTCCCAGTGTAAGCCCTAAATTTCACAAGTTCAGGTATCGTTCTCCTGGCAGCAACTTGAAAAAGTCCAATTCAGTTTGGATCTGATTGCAAATCACACAATCCTAGTTGAAGGTCTGCTCTGCTTACGTTCTCAACAGAAATTGTAAGGAGCTAAGTAAAAACTGAAATTTCTCTTTCAATATTTTAAAAATTGATTTTTGAATTCTTCTGCAATTATGTCAATGTATTTTATGGGAGGTAAATATGAAACTTTCTAAAAATCCTTCATTTCTTCAAAATGCTCTTTACAATTTGGAATAAATGAAAAGTAATTTTTTTCTAATGAAGACTTGAAAAGCTTAATTTTTTATTCATAAACTCATTTATGTGTTCAAATAAGTTGGCAATATTCTGCTGTTTTCCTTGTAGCTTCAAATTCTGTTCGTTAAGGTGAGATGTCAGGTCTGCTAAAAATTGCGTATCTACAGATTTTCCAGTTCCATAGTGTCAGACTTCACCTCGTCTTTAAGGAAAACAGAAATCTTGTGTAGAGCAAAGAATTGTTACAAATGGTTTCTGGCACTTAACCAACAAATATCACCGAGAAGTAACAAGTTCCCATATGTAGCATCTACTTCTGCCAAAAATCGTGAAACTTTTTGTGAGTCAAAGCATGATTGCCTTCTTTAATATTAGTTATTTTAACAACTGCTTTCATGATGTTAATTTGACATACAGCTTTTCCACACAAGGCCCCTTGGTGAACAATACAGTGTATCACAGGACAGTTGATGTTGTTTTCTTTCAAGAGTCCTGCAAATCCAATTTCAGTTCCTATCATAGTTCTTGTTCCACCAATGACAATACAGGAACATTTATCGAACCCCCCCCCCCATAGTCTGACACCACCTTATTTACAGCTTCAAAATTATCTGTACCCTTGGTTGTATCATGGAGAGGAATAAAATCAAGCATCTCCTGCTACACTGAAGTTGTTTTGAATAGTTTGGATAAAAATTACAAGCTGGCTAATGTAGAACAGATCAGTACTTTCATCCAGGCATAGCGAAAAATATTTACATTTTTCAACCATGTTATGCAATTTTTTGGGTACATATTGATTAATATGGTCCGCCCATCTTGCAATTGTCTGATGCGACACTGAGACTGTTTCGAATATTTCAGCAATTTTTGTTTCATTGAATTGTTTTGCCATTTTGATTGCACAGTTTTTAATAAGCACTCAATCACTAGTAGGTTTCTTAGCTTCAACAATTTCCAGTACTACTTCATAAGAAGTGGAAATACTGCACTTATTATCAGTGTCAGTTTTTTGAAAAATTTTGGTTTAGTTTTTTCTTATATTCCGTAATGACTTTTCTGTATATTGCTGAAACGTTTTCTCATGTAACATTGTTTCATATTATATTCTTTGGGATTCGATACTAGTTGCATACAAACAATGCATTGAAGTTTATTATTGTCATTTGTGATTAAATAGTTTGATTCCTAACTGTCATTATAAACACTATGTTCATTATTTTTCTTTTCTGCAAAGACATATTTCACCGAGTATTTCACTTAAAAAGGCTTTAGAGTTGCTAGAACAAAATGACTACAAATAATTATTAACTACTTTCTGTCTACCAGAAGAATGGCTCTTGTCAAACAGTCTGCACCTGTCTGTTGCCTTGGGAATGAGCCTGAACACATTTTTCATAAGAAAAGAAAAGAAAAGAAAGAAAGAAAAATGAATTGACAAAGAATAAGATTGTATAAATGTTCAATTATTTTAGAATTTTAATAGTTGAAATATTGTTATTAAAGTTTGAATTAATTTTAAATATCAGTTTAAAAATGTCTTTTATACACACATATGCATATATGCAGTAATATATTTTGTACTTCATCATAATAACTGAAGGTGAAAATTTCTGACTATATATGAATGAATATGAAAATATAACTCTCTTGCTAGGATGCAAGTAAAAAAAGTACTTTCTAATTATCAACTCGGACCCTTCCAAAAATTACCTTTGGTTTGTGATTAATTTTTTGCCAATCTCAAAAATAACAGCAGCTATTTTCGGAAACGGCTATGCTTTATGTATGAAGTAACAACCAATTAACAAAATAAAAAAAATGCAACAAACGTCCATAATGAAACACTTACCTTTATTTCCCCATTTCTTTCCCCATGTACACAGCAATTGGTTATAGCTTACAAAAAATCTGTTATCACTTAAAAGATATCAGAGTATTGCACAAATTTGGGATTGTGATGCTGTTGTTTTCCCATGCCAACCTACTGGTATAATGGTTAGTGATACTGACTGTTGCACCAATGAGTCTAAGTTTGAATTCCAGAAAAGGTATATACATTTGAAATGTATAGAATTTGAATGGCAAGTGGTCACTCAAAATACACAGTGAGCTGAAAGTCCTCTCAAGTGATTGTAGGAGAGGAGTGGGAGACACTGAAGTGATTCTCATGGTATTCTGCATCAAAACTGAGGTGGAGCTGAACATTTAAATAAAGCCCAGTTATACCTTAAATATACCTTAGCTAATGCAGAAGTGTCAGTATTGCTTCAACCTGTTGTTTTTCCATATGCACAGTAATCTGTTTTAACCCCCCCCCCCAAAAAAGGAGGAAGAAGTTAAAAAGAATTACATAAAAAAGCACCTTTTTTGCACATATTTGATCATTTACAAAGTACATCTTCACAGAGTACAATTTTTTTGCTTTTTCTTCTGTTAGGCATAACACCATATTTCTGAAGAAAGAGTGCTTTCTTTTTCATCAGCTGGCAACTCAACTGTCCTATTTACAATTCCTTACAAGGGGGATATTGCATAAACTAATCAAATCAAGCATTAACAAAAAAAAAAAAAAAAAAAAAAGACTTGAATATTTAAAAATCAAAATATGCTGTTGTGTGCTGCCAATGAGTATGTACAACTGACTCTAAATACCTTTTTGTGATGTAATGGGTTGTGATCTTCGCCTGGTGAATTCTTTTCAGGTTTAACACTTTACCGACCGATAGCCTTTTAACCGATGTTTTTTTGCCAAACCAACTGATCATCATTTTTCAGATAACACGTACCGACCGATAGCCTATTAATAGTCTTTTGTGGCAATGCCTACCGACTGATAGCCTATTAATCACTTTTTTCTCGAAGCTACTTAAAAATGGCCTATCAATCGGTAGCCATAGCAATAAACAATTGCCATTTGCTATATTACCTGCATTTTATTAGTAGTATTGAGATACATTGCTCACTTGCGTTAAGTGCGTTGCTTGGTAAACTCCCACATTTTCACACCGTTTTAAAAAAATTTACCGTTCACAATGAGCGAAAAAAAAATGGTACTGGAGAGTTTCATTTAGACGATTTAGCAGAGTGTCCTGACAGTTACTCAGAACGGGGAGAATCTGCGGCTGAGCGGCCGGTCGGACTTGCATATGCTGTTGAACCGCCAGCAGTCAGCAAAGTGTTGAGCGAATAATCAAAGTCAAAAGATTGTGCCTTTGTTGTCACATAATACAAAAAATTTGTATTTGAAACTAAAATACAAGAATAATATTGTGAATAAATTATTTGAAATGAGAATGAAATTCTTCCATTTCTGATTTAATGCAGTAGGGCTATCACATGTGTTTATTTTGCGGTGACAGGAAAAATGCCCACAGGAAAAAAGCTCATAGGAATAATGCTCACATGTATAAATGCTCATGTGTATAAATGCTCACAGGAAAAAATAAAGCCCACACAGAAAAAAGCTCATATGGAAAAATCCTCACTTAGAAATAAATTCACAGGGAAAAAAGCTCACATAGATATATGCTCACATGGAAATAAGCCCACTGATAAATAAAATATGTAGAAATGTCCTTACGTTAATCAATCAATAATTAATTGATTTGAACATCATACACCAACTTGAATTTTTCAAAGAAAAATTTAAATTACGGAAACATCTATGATATATATATATCAAAATCTGTATAACTTGTGTGTAGATTCATTTGCTATATAAGATTAACAAATGTTTTAAATTAGGAAAAGGAGAGGAGGAAGGAAGAAAAATGAAACAGAATTTATACAGTGAAAAATTATTACAATTTGAATTGTTAAGAAAATAAAATAATAGTAAATATAAGTTACACATTTTATAATATAAACATTTAGAATAGCCAATATAAACAACTATTTTATTTAAATTACGTAAAATACCTTGTATATAAATCATAAATATGTATTTCAAAAGTTATAAATACATAAAATTACTGAATATTAGCTAATATGTCTAAATATCTAATTTTATCATCAATTTCATCATAGTTTCTTACATGATTCGTGATTACTAAATGTAAGTTTTCATATTTTTTTTTAACTTCATCACACTTTGTATTACAATAGCTAATAATAAACGTTGATAGGCTAAATCTTTTTTTCAGCCCGTCAAATAAAAACTACATACTGGGATGGCTACAATTAAATAATGAATTTACTACCTTATGAAAGCTTTCGTAACGATTTATGGTTTTAGGAGATTTTTCTGAGGCTGCTTCATAATGATTCGACACTTCGATTGGAATCTGTGGTCTTCTAGAATTTTTTTGGTTCTAAACTTACATAACTACATTCAAACATCAATTCTTATAGATACACATCAAAAGTATACAAAAATAGAGTTAAAAAAATAACTATTGGCAGTTACAAGAATAAAAATGTCGTACTGGGGCGGTGGTATAAATATTATAGTACATGCAAAATTTTACTATAGGTTTCATTCTTTTATATACCGCCTCTGAAAAGGTTAATGTGAGCATTTTTCCAATAATTTTTCGTTTAAAAATTAAGTAGGTGTAAGATGTTCAGATCAATTAATTATTGATTGATTAATGTAATGATATTTCTACGTATTTTATTTATCAGTGGGCTTATTTCCATGTGAGCATATATGTATGTGAGCTTTTCTCAGTGTGAATATATTTCTAAGTGGGCATATTTCTATGTGGACTTTTTTTTCCTGTGAGCATTTATACCTGTGAGCATTATTCCTGTGGGCTTTTTTCCTGAAACCATATTTTGCACAGTGTATAATGAAACGAATTTTTTAAAGTAATTTAATAAAAGTAGGGAAATAGCTGTATGAAAGCACTGAAAAATGTATCAAAAGTCATTTCGTAATAATTTTAGATATCTGCTTTGGGAGATACTTTTTTTTTAACTTTGGAAAATGTGTGATTTTGTAATGCAGTTAAAATATTTTAAATTTAATATTTTAATGCATGTACAGTCATGCACAAAATTTTATACTTAATTTACTATTTACAGCTTTAAGTCAGAATTTGTTTAAAAGTTTGCATGTGAAGGTTATTCAAATTTGAATGACCAGGAGGCCAATGTCACCTTAACTGAAACTTGTAAAATAACTTAATTGTAATATACTGATAAATATTTTGTTGCACAGTTTGAATATTAAAAACTGTTATAAAACGAGTAATGCAAATGTTATAAAACGAGTAATGCAATTCATGATTACTATATTATAATATTTAAATTTTATTTAAAGGTGACCTTGTTATGTAATAGATCTGTATCAGGTAATTGTAATTAATTGATGTAATGAACTAGTAGTTTAATTGAATGTTAACAGTTTAAAATTTGCAGATATAAGAGTTTTTTTCATTTGAAGTTTCATTACTGTTGAAGCATTTCCTTGCTAGTAAGAGCTATAAAAATTAATGAAACTTCCTGAAGTTATTCATCAATGATTCTAGACTAGGGGTTCTCAAGTTTTTAAAATTGTATACCATATAAATAAGAATAAAATATGTGTCAGTATATGCAGCAAAAGGGATATTGTTTGTTAATTTTAAATATTCATTTAAATCTTTTGTGTAAAAATTATACGATCAAAAATGATATAGTGCCATTAGTAGTACATGTACCATCGTTTGAGAAATCGTGTTCTAGACAATTCTCTTTGTTGAAGAGGTTGCCTTAGAAGATATGATTATAAAAGATATTCAGCAATATTTTTATAATAAAAGGCTCAGAATAGTTGCATTCAGATGTGATTTTCTTAATGAGATGGTTGCGATGAGAGGATTTTCACTTGTTAGTGGTGTACTTAATTTAAAAATACTTACATGCAACAGTTTCCAAATATTGCGATGAAAATTTCATAAATGTGTACAGGTTACTTCAACATTGTGCCTTCCTACTTATATAACTTTTGTCTACTATTTTGAAGGAGAATAGCTATTTTTCTGATTTGTGTCATCATCTGTAAATTGTAAATCTAGTTTATCTAACAAATTTGCTTCTTTGTACTTTAAAATTGATATTTAAGATAAATATTATATGGTTGGATATACAAATCTTATTATTCAAATTTGAATAACTTTAGTTTTGGAAACCTACATATGAAATATAGGCTCTGTTAGTTTATAAATTTCTCTCTGTTACTGATAATCACCAAATGTATTTTTATTTCTTTTTAGTCATTTTGTGATCGAGCTAAATTAACAATTGAAAAGCTTGTAGAAAGAGTTGGCTTCTTTGGAATTTTGGCTTGTGCATCCGTAAGTTTAAAGTTTGAGCTTTTTCAAAACTGCTTTATTGTGTTGAAAAATGAATACATTACTTAATTGATATTAATGTTTGGCAATGCACCTTTTTTTTCCCTTTAGATTCCAAATCCATTATTTGATTTAGCAGGAATAACATGTGGACATTTTCTTGTTCCGTTCTGGACATTTTTTGGAGCTACATTAATAGGAAAAGCAGTAATTAAAATGCATATTCAAAAGCTTTTTGTCATTGTTGCTTTCAATGAGCATCTAGTTCATGAGCTTGTTAAGAAGATGAAGTAGGTTATAAATGATGTAATTCATTTTTGATTGTATGTCTTTCATGATATATCTTGAGTTATAAAAGGCCATTTTAAAAGTTTTATTTAATTTGTCTATTTGGATCAGATTTTGAAATTAATATTTAACCCATTTCTATCAACCTCATTTTCGTAACATTTTTAATGTATGTGTATTTTAAATGACAATGTTTTTCAAGAATTTTTTTAAAGTTAATTGTTAACATTATTTTATTTGGTGTTAAACCTGTCTTGCCAATCCTTATTTAATTATCAAGTTAATCATCGAAGAATTTTGAATTTTACATCTTTGAATAGACTGAAAATTAATTTTCCAAATTAAGTTTTTGTTATGATGTAATGCTGAACTTTTGTGGTTTTACTAAAATTAATTTTTTGTTGTTTTAATGCTGAGAAATTGTCGCATTTTTAGAAATCTTTTTTTTTTTTTTTTTTTTTTTTTTTTGTCTAATAGTGAGTTATAGTTTTTTAAAGCAAAAGGTTTAATCCTTTTTTGTTAGTTGTCTCATATTAAGTAATGGTGAAGTCAGTTTTAAGTCAAATATAAATATAAATGAATTGGATTGCTGTAATTGCTGATTCAGATGCTGTAATTTTTCATCATTACTCTTCTGCATTCTGTGGATTAAAGGATTAAATACAATGTATAAAAAAACTTAAAATTTTACTGTTTTAATGAAGCGCACTAAAAAGTTAAAAATAAAAGCTGTAATAATATTCTTCATGACATGATTAAAAATAAAGTCACAAACTCCCAGATATGAATAATATTAGGACATAAACACTTCAAGGGAGAGCAGAAGTGATAGTCTGTCTGGAAATCACATGTATAAGAATGATTACATTCAGTTTGTTCAAATTTCTCTTTGACAATTTTGGCTTAAAATCTTCCGTTGTTAGTAACCCCATAATTTTAATTTTAATTGAACATGACCAAGCATATTGAAACTGATTTTTTGAGTATATTTGATTTAAACTGTACTCGAGAGAAAAGTATGTTTTTGATTTCCTTGAACTTTCAAGGCAAGTAAAATACCAGATTCCTGTTGTAATTCTCTGATGCTGTAATAAATAGGTAGAAAATTTTATAATGATGAAATATCCTTTCTGTTTTATTTTTAAGTTGTTCTGATTATATTGCCATTAACTTTCCTTGCGCATAATGTTTTTCAAGAATATTAGAATTGTAATTGTAATGTAATTGTAGTTACATTACAGTTAAATTTCAGTAATTAAATTGTAATTAATATAATTAATATAATTTTAATTGTAAAACTGAAATGAAAGATAAAATTAGCTTTCACATAATTGGACATATTATTGATTGTAAATTTTTGAATTCTAAAGTCTTCTATAATTTAAAGCTGTTCATAAAATTTATTCATAGAATTATTTGGAATGTACTATTTAGCATTAGAAATTTTTTGAGGGGGCCCTGCTATTTTTGCTTTAAGTGGTTTAATACAGAACTGCTATAAAGAAATGATAAAAGCCAAATGAATAATGAGCAAATCTCAGTTGTGTGGTTTATGTCTATATGCTAAATGTCGTAATCAGGCTCAGTACTTAAAATTTCCTGAATTAATTTTTCTAGTTTGTGGTTATTTTATTATTTGTACAAAATGTATCAATTTGTACGGTTTTCTTTTATATGAAAGTTATTCTAAGTTCATAAATTCATTTAGTTATGATTCTGGTTGAGTGTAAAATACAGGGTCTTTTCTAGACAGAATGGGGAAAAAATGAGTAGTTATGATTTCACAAAATAAACAAACTCTTATATCTTGTATAGTGGGAAGATAATTTCTTCTCCACTATTCACAATAATACACTTTTGCTTAAAGCAATGTGAGAAAGTCAAATTTCGAATATTAGTCCAAATTTGACACCGCTGCACCAATGGCCAATTGATTAAGACCACTGAATACTGGTAGTTGAGCCTGTCTTGGGTTCAATACAGGGGAACGGGCTGGTTACATGTTATTGTGATTTTCCCCATGTGTAACATGAATATGAGCCAGTTTCCCTTAGAAAATCCTCCACAAAGGCATCCCTCCTCTTAAGCAGATAGCCCTTGAGGCTTTGTCATATTCAAACAGCTAAATCTAACCGAATTTGACCCTAAAATCATACATAAAGCTATTTCTTCTGTTTTATCTTCTGATAAATTTCGAGGTTTGTTGTAAAGTGATAAATGAGCTGATTTTTTCACTTGTCCCTAAGAATTTAGAAGATAAATAAATTCATCCGTTTTTATTTTCCCAATAATTTCCAGAAGAATAATTTCAAATTTTTTAAAGGTGTTCTTAGATTAATAATCACTTGTCACTTCAAACTGATCAAATAAAATTACAGAAAAACTGAAGTTAACTGTCATTTCAATCAAGCATATTATTTCTAAACGTAACCTACTTAAAAGTTACTGAATACTGATAGTTCATTCCAAAGTCTTTTCTCGATCAACAAGCTGTAAGCATATTTTTAGTCACTTTTTTTCATATATAATGGGGTTATGGACTACTTTTCTTTGAGAAATGTTTCCTAATAAAGGAATCCTCCTTTTGGAGATGGCCGTAGTGCTTTGTCAGATAAAATCAACCAATGAAACAATGCAACATTTTCAAAGAGAGATAATTCATTTCGTCAGATATTTTTTCATTGGTTGCTATTTTATTAAGTATTTGTTTGTCATCAAGGCAGCAATTTTATAGCATTTATCTACAAACAATGTGCTAGCAAAATGGAAATCTGTGTTAGTTGAGTAAATAATAAAGAAGTTACTTGATAAAATATTTCCATTTTGCATTGCAATTTATGTATTAACATATTCCTGGGTTTATCATAGAGTTAATTTCAATTATTATAATCAAATTCTAATTTAACTTTCTGAAACTGAGCATAGTTACTGCTTGGAGAGAAAGAAAATTTCCACCTGACTTTATAATTTGAAATTATTTTTACAAATATTGCCTTAAAAATTTACAATCAAATTATTGTAAAGAGTTAATGTGTCAGCATCATACTGTGCTTTTTAATGTGCTATAAATTAGTATTTTATAGGCCAAGGGAAATAATTATCCTTTTTTTTTTCTCTGCACTTTTTAAAAATTATTTCTAGCAAATAAACTGTTTTTGCCATGATTAAACACTGTTGAACTGCTAGCGGTCAGCATATGCACATCCGACCGGCCGTTGAGCTACAGATTCCCCCTGTTCTGAATAACTGTCAGGACAGTCTGATAAATTGTCTAAATAAAACTCTCCAGGACCATTTTTTTCGCTCATTGTTAACGGTAAATTTTAAAAAAAACTGTGTGAAAATGAAGTTGACGAAGCAACGCACCTAAAGCAAGTGAGCGGTGTACCTCAATACTAATAATATAATGCAGATAATATAGCAAATGGCAACTGTTTATCGCCATGGCTACCGATTGATAGGCTATTTTTATGTAGCTCCAAGAAAAAGCGATTAGTAGGTTATCGGTCGGTAGGCATTGATGAAAAAAGCCGATTAATAGGCGATCCGTAGGTAGGCGTAGGTGAAAAAAGAAGATTAATAGGCGATCGGTCGGTAAGGTGTTAAATAATGCATTTATTAAAGAAAACTTAATGTGCGTTTGAAAATTTCATCATAAAAGAATATGTAAAACATTTGTACATGAAACAAAAGAGAAACATGCCAGTGTAAAATTTGAAATTAAGCAAAAAGGTAAACTTGAATAAGCATAGATTTCAAAGCCAATCTGAATACTGTATAACTCTACTTTAGGAGCATTTTTATTTTCAAAGGTGATATGGAAGTGACAAAAATGGTGGTTGTGGATTAAAAAAAAAAAAAAAAAAAAAAAAAAAAAAAAAAAAAAAAAAAATTTGCTAATGGAATCTTGAAACTCGAAAGTAAAGGCTCATATTTTTGAATCTCTAAATATCCTTTAGTTTTGGGTCTCTGAAGTATTAAAAGTGCAGTTAAATCATCCCATAATCTTCCAGTTTAGTTTAAAATGGAAAAAAAGTCACCTATTTTATTAACTGTGTTAGAACTGTATGCTGTTCTTAAAGTTTAGAGGTAAGTGTTTTTCAGTTTCCATTACTTCTTTATGCACAGTGTGCTTTGTATTGCATTAGTGTTAGATTTTGATAATAGTGAAATAAGTTTAGATCACTTTCTGAGAATAAAAATGCTGCATGCTTTGTGAAGATGAGGTGATGACATAGGTTTCCAAACTTGTATGGCATATAGATAGTTCAGGTTCCTGAGAGCTTTTTCCCCTATTAAATTCTGCAAGAATTGGACAATTTAATTAGATATATTTTTTTAATATCATTTAGAGCTTAATAACCACTGGAATTGTTATGTTTAGGTATTAATTTATATATTTTTTATATTGCTGTAGTATCTAAATATAAAAAGTTTTTATTAAGTGTTTATTAAGGTTACTAAAACTGAACTTTTTAATTTATAGATATATCCCATACATTGGTAAATATTTACATGCTCCTCTTGAAGAATTCTTGGCTAAGCAAAAGGCTAATCTGCATCGAAAACCTGGAACCCCAGGTGTATCTGTAAGTGCCTATAGATAAATTTTGTTGTGTTTTGTGTACAGTTTATTATTATTTCAGACTTAAAATTAAGTGTTTTGTTTTAATTTTTAACTCGTAAGTATAAACTGCACACACACACACACGTATGTATTTATTACATTTTATATTCTACTGAGTAATCTGTATTTGGATTAGTTCTTGAAGAGATCAAGTAATATCAGTAATATTGGAAATAATGATCTTTTCTTCCATGCTTTGCACTTTTGTTGTGCCATTGTCAAAAAAACAGCTTTTTATGTTTTTCAATCTGATTGATGAATTTTAATCTCTTTCACATTAAAATTTATCAATCTGATCGATGAATTTTAATTGCTTTCACAGTAAAATTTCAGTTTTGTTTTTCACAGTAAAATTTAGTTTAAATCATTCCTTTTATCAGTGTTTGAAAAAAAAAAAAAAAAAAAAAAAAAAAAAAAAAAAAACACCCTATTTTAATAAAGCCTTTATGTTAGAATAAATATAACTACTGAATTTGTGTGCAGGTATGTTTTTCTGTGAGAGTTGGTTGTTGGAGGAGAATTCCTTCAAACTAATACAGGTATACTGAAAAGGAATGAACCAGTTTCAAAGACCCATTTCATGATCTCCTCAGGTATCCTCACAGAATGAATTGTGGACCATTTAAAAGAGTAGGTTTCTAAGTTTTTAATAATTTCCAGCTGGGCACTATATCGTACTTCAAATGCATTCTCAGTGTTTGATTGCTTATTTTAGTATATTTCAAATGGCTACCCCTTAGCAAAAGGCATTTCAGTGTAAAGGATCATGCTTTTGTTCTACCACCACCCATTCATCTGAATGACTTAAATATTACATAACAACAGGGATCAAGTCATGCATTTGGTAGGAATTTTTATAGCCCATTGATATTAATTGGGTCCACACTCTCTACACATAGAGGACAGTAAAGGGAACTTCATTATCAGTATAACACACTTTTCTCTTTTTTAAAGCTGTTTTCCTCAATAAAATCTAACTGTATGAATACAGTTTATTCTTTTGAATTATGTTGTCCATCCCAGTTCTTCATTTTGTGTGTATGGAATTTCCATTGTTTTTGTATGTGTGCAATAAATACATGTACTGGCCAGCTTTAGAAAATTTTTCATGAAGGAATTTCTTTCCTAAGGTTTTAATTTATATTGTTTTAATTAAAAGATTCAATCTAGTTTTTATGAAATTCTGGGGTTATCAGTGAATAATCCCTCTAAATATTGTTAATTTATATCAGGTTTTATCATTCCCTCCCCCCCCCCCAAAAAAAAAATTGCTAGAGATCTTGTAGCTTGCTTGATGTGTAATGCATATGTCTACTGTTTCCTTTTGGAAAGTTCTGTGACTAGATATATTTCATGAAGCAAATAGCCATGGTACTGACTGTATACCATTTCTATTTTTTTATAATTAGTAATTTTTATTATAATTTACATTTTTAATTACTAATTTTTTATAATTCGTATCGTTCTCTTGCTTTTTAAATAAGTATAAAAATTTGTTTAGATTTTAGGAAATATGCCATCGAACTTGCAGCCTGCTTTATCTATTTTGTAAATTTTCATTTGGAATAAGGAAGTTACTTATCAGATAATTAAATTTTTTAGTATGTTGCATTTCATCATATTTGTAACCAAGTTATTGTATATTTTGTTTCAGCGAACCTTTTAGGTTAATTAAAAAAAAAAAAAAAAAAAAGAAATGCACTAAAATATTCTCATTTAGCTTTTGATAAATGAAATTTAATAACTTTATGCCTGTTGTGTTTAGCTACACATATTTTTTTAATATATTTAAAGAAGTTTAATTTCAGTTTAATGCATATTTTTTTGAATGTAATTATTTGTAAATATTATAGCTGTTCAGAATTTTTGAAAAATATTTTAATTAAAAAATTTAATGTTTGCCTTGCCAGTTGTAGGTTTTCTTAGTTTTAGATGTTTTTGTCATACACAGAAATTTGATATTTTTTCAGAACTTCTTCATGTAAATTACAATCATTATTTTTATAATCATGTCTATGCAAAGCAATTTATTTTGCCAACTTAATAGCTAGACTGAGCTCTGTTATATATATATATATATAATATACATATATATGTATGTATAACAGATTTTACGGATCTAAAGTAGTCTAAAAATGTTAAAGTTATCTGTTTGCAGAGAAAATTACTTTTTTTTTTGAAAAAAATTTTAGATTTTTATATATATTCTAAAATATTGTAATGTTATAAGTTTCTTCTTTATTTTATCCATATGTATGTATGTATTTCAGGAAGGAACTTGGATAGCTTGGATCTTTGAAAAATTTGTTATCCTAATGATCCTTTATTATGTGTTGTCCATTGTGAACTCTATGGCTCAAAGTCACCATAAAAGATTAGAAAAGCGGTTGCGTCGTGTGACTACAAAAGTGGCAACTGATTAAAACTGCCGTACTTATGTATTTTCCATTAAGCAATGGTACAGAGATGTGCCATTTCAGTACTGACCAATTGTGGACAATGTGTTCTGCATAGATTTTGTAATACCTATGTATACATTTTCCCTGAGTTGTAATTTTTATAATTTTGGCAATCACTTGAGGTCGACATTTTCAAGTAGATGAGATTCCATGCAGAGAATATTCATCATATATTACTTAAGTAGGAAAAATGTACATTATGTATGTCATACTAGATCATGTGGAATGCCGGGTTTATATTGAGTATTTGTAAATATATATATATATACACACATTACTTACCTTTGTTAACTTGAATGGAATAATGAGATCATGTGATAAATGTGTTGAATCATACTTGTGAATTTATGGTTATATTTCGTTATGTAGGTTATTTTAATTGAATTTTTTCACTTTATTTTTGTAATTGAAGTATGTAGTTGAACTACATTTGTTCACAATGGGAAATATATGTAAGGTTTTTGTGCTTCTCAAAGATAAACATTTTTATACATGAAAGGATATATCATCCATCAACTGTTATCAAAAAGCAAGCACATCAAAATTTTCTCTCCTAGAGGGGAATATAAACTTTAATGCCAGTAGAGTTTTCAAAACATTTTTGTACAGCATTAACACACTTAAATTTTCTGCACTCATCATCAGTGAAAGTACAATTTTGGATTTCTCAGTTAATGCTTCACTTTTCAATCCATGTAAAATTGTCCACAATTTTTTTGTAATGTTAACATATGATGCAGGTTGTCAGTATTTTTGTGTAGAAGAATTATACTGCTTACATTGAAAAAAGAAATTTGTTTTATGCTTATTTTCTTAGAATGTATTGTTTCCTATTATATTTATTTGTATTTAAAACCACTATTACATTGATATTAAATAAAATAATTTAAATCTGAGTTCGGAGATTTCTTGATTTTTTCTCCCCCTAACACATCAACTACCATCCATGAGAACATATGAGAGTTACGGCAGCCAGTCCACTGGTAGAAACCCACCACACGCTATCTCTTTTTTGCATTATAGCTTTTCAATGTCCACCTTATTATCACAAGTTTATGTGTTGAAAATGCATAGGATTTTTGTGCATTATATGTCTGTTAAAGGTTCATTATTAATAAGAAAGTATCATAAAAAGGATTACTTTTTATGCACATTTTTTTTTTCAAAATATAAAAAATGAAACTAAAGAGCAAAAAAGCAAATTTTAATTATCGTATGCATTAAAGTGTGGGTTTTCTCATTACATGCTGAACAAAAGTATTTCTTAGCATCTCTTTTGGGTGCTGCAAATATAGCTGGCCTTTGTTGATGACATTTCACACATTAGAGAGTGACCATAGTCTTAGTATTTATTCTATTTACATTATATATACTATGAAGATTGTACTATGGCCATAAGAAGGGCCTATTGCAATGAACAATTTTAGGTTTAGAATTTGATGATTAATGGATCTGAACTACAACATCATTCAGCCTGTTTAGGACTGTGTAGGGACCATTCCAGGGTTTCCGCAGTTTAGAATAGAGTCCTTTCCGTCGAACTGGGTACCATAACCACATTTTGCCACCTCTGTTGAATCCACCATCTTGTTTCCCAAACAAGAGATTGTACAGTAGACGAAGGTCCCGACCAAAGAGCATGTGGGCTGCTGAATAGCTGGTAGTCTTGTGGACAGCTCTGCGACAAGCCATTAAGAAGAGAGGTAACTTCTGGTCCCAGTCCTCTTGGTTTCTGGACACCATTAGTGTGAAGTATGCTCCTTCAAAATTGCTCCACATTTTGAATAAATACATTTAATTACATTATATTACATAGTACAGTTACACATAGCAAATACATGTTACACAGCTCTTGCACTATATTCTCAAAACCCACACCAACTTTCGCTCAAATCAAAATTTTTCTCACACAGTTGAGTGGTGCTACAAAGCCCTCTATGGGAGATCTCAACATACTCCCCATGGATGACCATTCAGGACATCAAACAACCTCTTACATGAAATTATTACTTAATATTATTCTTAGTAAACGTATAATTTCTAGATTAAATAGTTCTTGCATATAAATGAGTAATACTAAGCCTAAACAACATATAAATGTAAACAATGAATTACACAAATTAATAACATAAATATGTACAATAACATTAAAACTTGGAGAATTCAAATGAATAGCGATGAATATCAAGTTCAAAATTTTTCACGATACTTAACTGTATATTGGTAATACACACAGTTTGTGAATGGGTCTCTTGAATTCACCATCATCAGTTTTTACTTTTACAACACGAACTCTGTAATCATTACCCGGGTAACTTTCAGTGATACGTCCCAGTTTCCATTTTAAGGAAGGTGTGTTTCCTTCCTTAATGATTACTAAATCGTTTACTTTAATATTTGCTGAAGCACAATGTCATTTTGTGCAAATTTACAGTTGAGTCAAATAGTCCTTAGACCATTTCCTCCAGAAGGACTGCGACATTTGCTGAACTAGTTTACAACGATTGCGAAGTGTTAGTATCTCGTCGCACACCACATTTGTTTCTGGAATAGCCTTTAATGATGTTCTTATTAAAAAATTACCCCAAGTAATCACGGAAAAATCATCTGGATCACTTGAAATCTCTACTAATGGTCTTGAGTTCAGACATGCCTCAACTTCTGCTATATAAGTAGCAAATTCTTCAAAAGTTAGAACTTGAGAACCAATTGCTCTTTTCATATGATATTTCATAGCCTTTACTGTGGCTTCCCACAGTCCACCAAAGTGCGGCGCAGAAGGTGGATTGAAATTCCACTTAATTTCTTCCTCTATTAAGTATATAACTACCCTTTGGTTTGAATGATATGCTTTCAGTCATCTGTTGGCACCTATGAAATTAGTGCCGCAATCACTATACATTTCCTCCGGTCTTCCATGTCTAGTAATGAATCGTTTTAGAGCTGCTATGAAGGAATCTGTCATCATGTCTCCAACTTGTTCTAAATGCACTGCCTTAGTACTAAAACATGCGAAAACACAAACGTAGATCTTTACTGTCCAAACACTGCGTCCTTTCTTCGATTTAACTTGGAAAGGACCCAAAAAATCCACACCACATTTCGAAAAAGCTCTTGCGGGATTCACTCTGGATGCTGGAAGATCGCCCATTGCTTGATATGACAGCTCACTTCTGGGTCGACAGCATACTACACATTTACGAATGACTGCTTATGCATTAATAATCCAGTATCTCTACTTGATTTCTGAATGGAGCATTTGTGCTCCTCTGTGAGGATATTTATAGTTATATCGTATTATGAGTTCTGTAATATAGTGTGATTTAGGCAGAATGACTGGATATTTTACATTCTGTGCGATGCTAGCATTTCTTAGTCGTCCTCCCACTCTTACAATACCCTCATCATCTAAGAAAGGATTCAGCATATTGAGTTTACTGCGGGTACTCGCTAGTTTTCTCTTTTTCAAATGATTGATTTCTTTACTAAATTCTTATATTTGCACAGACTTTGACCCAAGAATGTGCTAGGGCTAGCTCTCCAGTCTGGAGAAAATTTAATTTTGTCCTTGTAATGGATGATTGTTTCACATTGGCAATAAATCTGAGACACCAAACTATAACTCGTAAAAGTTTTGTCCAAGAAGAATATTTATGAAGCAGTTCATCAATCACGGTAGTATGCACAATGCATCCCTTTCTCTCAGTTTCTACTACTTCCAGTGGGATATCCTTCAGTGGAAGCTTAGGGAAAAAATTATCTTTTCTTCTTAGCCAATATGGACCACACCACCAACGATCACCTTCCAACAAACATTGAACTGCACATCCCTACTAACTAAATCAGCAGGATTTTCCCTTTCACTGCAATGATTCCAGGACCTGGGATCTGATTTTTCCTGCACTTCAACCACTGTATTACCGACAAGCTGTTTCCATTGTTTCGCAGAACCCTTTATCCAAAACAAGATAATTAAGGGATCGGTCCAATACACAAACTTATCAATAAGATCCTTAAAAACCTCTCCCAGATACTTTCCTATTCTAGCTCTTATGACTGCTGCAATTAGTTCCAATTGTGGCAACAGCAATTTCTTCAAAGAAGCTACTCTGCTTTTCGACATGACAAACGACACGGAAATGTCACCCTTATCATTTAAGTAACGACAATACACTACAGCACCATAAGCTATGGGAGACGCATCGCAAAATACGTGTATTTACATTTTTGAATTTAAATTATCACAACACACAAATAAATTTCTCGGAACTGAAATATCCTTCAGATATTTAACCTCAGAACACCAGCTAGTCCATTTGATTTTAAGGTCATCTGGCAATTTCTCATCCTAACCAATACTACGTTCCCAAATTTCCTGTAGCAAACACTTAATCCTAACTTTAAATGGAGCTGCAAAACCAATTGGATCAAAAATCACTGCTGCAACATGCAAGACATAATGCTTTGTGCTCTTCAAACTCTTTAAACTATCCATTAATCTTGCTATATCTATAGAAAATTATCATTTACTGTGTTCCAGTTCAATCCTAAAACTCTCAACTGACAATCAGAAGTACAAGTATCCTTGCTAAGTCCATTCTGTATCCACAATGACCTTAATTTCTCATAATTAATTTTTAATTTTCGCAAAATCATACTTGCATCCTTTAAAATCAATACAGCTTCAGAAGATAATTAAATACCTCTTCAACACTATTTCCCCCAGAAATATAAATCGTCATACACAGTGAAGAGTTCAACATTTCAACACATTCGAGTTTATTATTCCTGTACTGCTTTAAGCTCTTTTTTATTGTTGCCCTTAAAATGAATGGCGATGCCTTACAACCAAACGGCAAACGTGTCATATGCTTTATTTTGTAGTCTTCATTTGTATTTTCTGATAACCACAAGAATTTAAAAAATTTCCTATCCTCTTCTGAAATTACAATCATCAAAAATTCTTTCTCTATATCAGCACAAATGCAATTTTGAATTTCCTAAAATTTAAAATTACGTCTAGTACACTGGGATTCAAATTCGGCCCAGTCTCTAAATAATCATTCAAAGAAAGATTTAGTTTCGCTTTTGAACTACAATTGAAAATCACGCAAACTTTAGTAGTATCCTTATCGATTCTCACAACTGCTCTATGTGGCATGAAATATTCCTTTGCATCCCTAGAACATTCTTCAATTATTCCTTTACTCTGCTGATATTTAATTATGTCTTTGTAATCATTCACCAACCATTCATTATTTTCGAATTTGTTTTTTAAGTCCTCAAGTCTTTTTTTTTTTTTTTTTTTTTTTAGCAAGACAAAAGTTAATTTTTAAATCCATTGGCTTTATTCCCAATAACAAACAAGTTTCGTATCTTCCATCTACAAACCTCAAATTATGTTCGAATTTTTTTATCAAATTTTCATCTGCAGTTGATAACTTATTAGAATCGGTAATTCCTAACGATTCTAAAGTTTATAGCATCTGCATATCGGTGCCAACGCAAAAATTTGCTGATACTATGTTTCCCCAGATTTTATCCTCAGAATTATTTTGTATGCCCCTGGAGTGTAAGGCAAAAAATAGTTTGTATGCAGTTTAGCGTTTTGGTTATTTTTTCTACTTTCGACTCTTTAACGACGTCCCAAAAATAATCTGCTCCTATTAAAATGCGAATACCTTCATCTGAATCCATGCATGCCTCAGCTAAATTTAAACTCGTTTGCTTAAAAATATTTTGAATATTTATATTGGGAAATGCAATGGGTACGGCAGTAATCATTTCAGTAACTAATGTTTCTATTTCAATATATTTCTTAGGATCATTCCTATTCCTCAATGTTAACTTTACACTGTAAGTTTTACTTATGGCTTTCGTGGACCCAAAAGCATAAACTGACAATCTATCCTTTCGAATGGTTTTAAGTCTAAGGCCATCTGCCGAAGATTTTGTTGTCCAAGATCTTTCACTCCCGTTATCCATTAACACCCGACATAGTTTAAAGTTTCCTTTCGAACAAGCCAGGACAGTACAGGTTTGCAGTAAAGCACTGCCATGTGACCTTGCTGCGAGAAGCTGCACTGAGTCAGCGCGTTTGAATTCTCTTTCCCCCTTTCGACTTCAGCTGATTTATTACTATTTTCACATACTAAGGAGTGGTGAGCTAAGCTGTTGCAGTTCTTACATAGGTCGAGTTTAGTTTTACAGAATCGCACTAAATGGAATTTTGAGAAACAGCGAAAACATCGATTATCTCTTTTTAATGTAATTTTTCTTTCCGCGACACTTTCAAATTCGCAAAATTCATATTCTTTGCTATCACAAAATATGCAGTTTCTTTTAACATTTGTAGTATAACTAGCAGTTGATATATTCCTATTAGTACTAAGCTTTTTATTTTCAAATTTTCTAAAATTACTTTTATATTCATTACCAAAATTATGATAATTTTCAGTTTTTCTACTAAATAAATATGTCCTTTCCCTAGACCGTATCTCTTCATCTAGAAAGTTAAATAAATCCTTAAAATTCCAATCACTATCTGGATATGTTCTATTGAAATCTAAAACAAGTTCCTTTGGAATTCTTTCTAACAAAATGGGAATCAATAAAGTGATGAAAGATTTTGTTTCAACTCCTAACGACTCTAAACTTCTAATTTGAGTATCAGCTTTGTCAAACAACCTTCTCAATCCAGCTAAATCATTTATACTTCTAATAATAGGAATTTTAAGTAACTCATTCAAATGTGTCTAGA